TCACTTCAACCGAACCCGACGTACGCCGCCATCGCCCAAAGCGAGCCATCCGGGAAGGACACATGGTTCTTGGACAGTTGCTGCGGACAACACATGTGTTCTTCAGGACGCTTCGTACAACGCGAATACCAGCTTCAACGAGAAGTCGTCATCACCGTCGCCAACAACCAAAACCTGCGCACACGACGTCAAGGAGTCGTTCAACTTCAGTCACGAGAAACAAACGTCATTCTGCAGATGTCCAAGGTTTTAATCGCAGAAGGCCTCGGCTACAACTTACTCAGCGTCAGCCAGCTGATGGCGAAAGGCATCCATCTTGAAGCAGACAGCACCACCCAAGAGTTCAAGTTGTATCACGGGAGAGGAGGACTCTACATCGGCAAGGCGGTCCTCAAGAACAACGTCTTCGTTCTTGACTTCGTTCCTGATCTTGGCACGGCCGACAGCGACGCCATCGTCAACTTCACCAACTGGACACACCCTCCGGATCTTGATCCAGACTTCAGTCCGGGCGGCTTCTGGTACTCACACACCATTCCTGAAACAGAGAGAACAAGAGCGTTAGCAACGATTCAACGGTCGGCAGCAGCAGAGACAACATCGGCAGCAGCAGAGACAACATCGGCAGCAGCAGAGACAACATCGGCAGCAGCAGAGACAACATCGGCAGTAGCAGAGACAACATCGGCAGCAGCAGAGACAACGACAGCAGCAGCAGGAACATCAACACCAGTTGGCGGTCCTCCAACGACACCGCCCTTCATCGACGACACGCCACCGACACCCGCGCAGCAGCTCAACCCGGCACGACGAGAAATCCACCGAAGTGCAAACGTCACCGCCGGCTTCTACTCCAACTCCGATATGTACCGCCGCTCACCCGGACACCGCGCCAGCGAGGGAACCTGGCACGCAAGAATGGGACATCCGAGCCACACAGTTTTAAACAACACGATACGAGCAGGAGTGCTTGACAAAGACTCACTTCTACTGACCGACGGCAGAGAACTACAACGAGCTCGAGGAACATGCTTCACCTGCCCCGAAGCAGACTTAACGCATCAACCGTTCCCATCTCACCACAATCCAAGCGCACCAGCTTACGCACCACTCGAAAAGGTGTACAGCGACATCCTGTACAACCGCGAGCCCGGACAAAACGCCTACAATTACACGATTACCTTCATCAACGCCGCGACAAGATACGTCTGGCACGTCAACCTACCAAGCCGCGACATGGCTTTCGAAGCGTTCGTCGCCTGGCTTCCTGCAGCAGAGAGAGAATCGGGCGTAAAACTGAAAAGTTTAGTGTCAGACGGGGGAGGAGAATACACCTCACAGAGGTTCAAGGACTACTTGGCAGAGAGGGGAATCAAGCGGCTCATCTCCCTTCCCTACGCCCATCAACAGCAAGGCGTAGCAGAAAGGATGAACAGGACACTCCAAGCCACCATGCGCAAGCTGCTACGTGGCATGCATCTGCCCAACCACCAGTGGCCCGAAGCAATGGACCACGCCGTCATGCTGCACAACTTGCTCTCGTCATCATCGCTCCCGAACAACGCATCACCGCATCTGCTGTGGACAGGAAAATTGGGCAGCACAAAAATGTTACGAGTTTTCGGGTGCATGGTACAGTACCGACCACCATCTGCACGCGCCGGTCGATTCTCCCAGCGAGCACAGTGGGGAGTACACCTGGGCATCGAAAAACACTACAACGCGTGGAAAATCTTCGACATCAACAGTAAAGAAACAGTCGCAGCACGTGACGTCCTCTTCTACGAGAACCTCACCCTCGACGTTCACCTCGCCTACGTAAGAGCAAACAGACCTGATCCCTCGGGCGGATTCACTGGAACCCGAGCCTTCGCTTCGGCGGAAGACGAAGCTGACTGGGACGAGCAGAACGTGGACGGAGCCTCGGAAGAAGCCGGACCACTACCGTACTGCTGGGTAGACGTACCAATGGACGACGACAACCCTCGCGAAAGCATCAACGCCGAAGTCTTCTACAAGTTCGCCGACGACGGTTACGTTACACCTGAGCAAGTCAACACCAACGAAGCAGAACGCGTAGGGCCCAATTTCGCACCTGACCCAGAAGCTGGAGACGAAGCAGTCTATCCCGAGGACACCACACTCCCCCGCTACACACAGAGTGGACTCCAAATCCTTGGACTCGTCACCGCAGTCCACGGCGCCGACATTCCTAGGGAGCCTGCGACGGTTCAGCAGGCTCTGGGGGGGGAGCACAGGGAAAAATGGCGCGAAGCCATGGACAGGGAGCTGAAGGCCTTAGAGGAACGCAACACCTGGAAGGTCGTCCCTATCGGCGTAGCACGAAACAAGACTATACTCACCGGAAAATGGGTCTTCCGAGTGAAGACGAAAGCCGACGGCACCATCGAAAAGTTCAAGGCACGATGGGTCGTGCGCGGTTTTGACCAGGAACACGGACGCGACTTCACCGAAACCTTCGCACCTGTGAGCCGACACACTTCGCGCCGAATTCTCCTCGCAATCGCCGCCATGAAGAAGAAAAAGCTGCGGCAGATCGACGTCGCAAATGCATTCCTCTACGCACCTGTCGAAACAGAGATTTTCGATCTCAACATTCGAGAAGAAGACGACGCGATCTATCTCAGCGCCGCGAAGTACGCCGACACCATCGCCAAGCGCTTCAATCTCACACTGACCACCATCACCACACCGTACCGCTACACGACAGGAAGTAACAAGGAAGGATCCGCCCTACTCAAGACCGGCGGCATACGCGACTATCAGAGGAAGCTAGGATGCCTCCTCTTCGCAGCTGTCACCTGTCGTCCTGACCTCTCATACTCCGCAAGCCAGCTCGCCACCTACCTCAAGAAGCCCGAAGCAGAACACCTGGCGGAGCTCGACCGCGCTCTTCACTACTTCGTCAGCACCTCAACGATCGGCCTAACGTATCACAAGAACGCAACTACACCGACTAAACTAATCGGCTACGTCGACGCCGATCACGCCGGCGACTCCGACAACAGGCGCTCGCGCACCGGCTACATCTACCGCCTCGAACCTATCGGTCCTATCTCCTGGCAGTCGAGCAAGCAGGAGTTAATCGCGCTATCATCAGCTGAAGCAGAATACATTGCACTCTGCTCAGCCACCAAGGAGGGACTTTATCTTCGCGAGCTGCTGGAAGAAGCGAAGTTAGCTGAGTTACCCAACTTCACCCTGTTCTGCGACAACCAGTCGGCAATTCGCATCGCCAACAAGAACGGCTTCGCAAACAGGACGAAACACATCGCCCTACGCTACTTCTTCGTGAAGGACGAGATCGAGAAGGGGAGACTTCAACTGTCATACTGCCCCACGTCCGAGATGGCAGCCGACTATTTGACCAAGAAGCTCGGAAAGCAGAAATTCGAGTACTGCATGCTGCTGACTGGACAAAGCCACGTCATCAGCAGCGACACTCCAGAAGCGAAGGGGAGTGTTGGAAACAGTGAAACTTAAGCGTTTCGGTAGTGTCGAAACATCGCACCAGAAGTGAAGAAAACAATACCGAAGCAAGCACGAGTCAACCCTCGGAGGTTGAGAGGTTGCTGGAGGTTACGCAAAAGTCAAAGGTCAAGCGACCTTTGACCTGACAAGTGCAGCGCGACAGTTAAGGACACACAACTGACTCGTTACAGAGCAGTTGCCCGAGTCGTACTGTATCGAACCGCAACAGCAACAGTAAATTAGTTACAACCGTATCGTTTCGTATTCCTTGTACTACCGTATAACCCCGGATATAGGCGCATGTGCGCTTATAATAAAACCGGTTTTTTTAGGGGGGGGCGCTTGTAATTGAGTCACGGCCATAAGCGCCGGCGCTTATATAATGACAAGTACAGATATACAACTTAAACGCATCAAAATGTACACATTTCAGTCTCGGTAGTTCAATCGAGTCGATATTTTAAAGCGTCCAGAATCTGAATCGCGTGAGGGCGATTCTCTGACGCTGCACAGTGCACAGAGATTTTGACACGTCAATTTGCCAGCTTGCCACCTCATCCTGACTGGACGCGAAAGCAGTCAGGACCGCGAAAGTCAAACAAACTGAAAATGGGTGCTGACTCGCTTGAAATTCAAAACTCGTTACCGCTTTAATCAGGATTGAAACATAATATTATGGATGCGCTTATAATAAATCAGGGTTTCACAGGGGGGGCGCTTATAATCGAGTTCCGGCCATAAGCGCCATGCTCCAGATAGAAGCGCCGGCGCCTTTAATTGGACGGCGCTTATATCCGGGGCGATACGGTATTATAACTATATATTCTTGTATCTCTTTGCTATAATCAATCTACTTTGCCCTCACATACCAGCGCAAGGTGGTTCGCAAACTTTTCATTAAACGCTTCCGCTATTACAAGGTTCCTACCCAGAGTTCACCCCTGAAAAGATCCTAAGGGCTTATCTCAGCCCAACAGGTTCATCCCTGAATACGGTATTCCGGACTCCACTCTGCTTTGCTGGGATGGCAACTCAATCGCGGTCTCATCCGGTGTGAGCCCGTGAGGCAGAGAGCCGTTTGCGATGTGGTAAAAGCCCAGAGGAACCCCTTTCATTAATGATGACAAAAATGGCATTTTCAACTAAGTAAAACAGCGGATTTCAGTCAGAGTCTGCCAGTGAAACCCTGTCAGCCCGTTAGCCTGTCAGCCAGTCAGCCTGTCAGCCTGCAAGGCCGTCAGGTGGTCAGGCAGAAATAATTCGAAGTTTGTCGATGTGGCACAATTCGAAAATATTCTACAGTACTTTAATTTTCTTTTGCAGAACAAGTGTCGCATCCAGGGTGCGCCAGCAACTCAGGCAGAGAGCAGTTGGCCCATGTGGTGCGAGTCGAGGATCTCAATCCAGTAGCCATCGGGGTCCTTCATAAACGCCAGGCCCTTCATGCTCATCGCTCACCTAGTCAGGCTTTTCACCAAACATTTCTAAGACGTCTTGAAAGCAGCCTATCAGGCAGAGAGCAGTTGGCCCATGTGGTGCGAGTCGAGGATCTCGATCCAGTAGCCATCGGGGTCCTTGATGAACGCCAGGCCCTTCATGCGCCCCTCGTCGGGCTTCTTCACAAACTCAACACCCAGCTTCTCAAACCGCTCACAGGCTTTGTACACATCGTCCACCATCAAACCAATGTGGCCTGCCAGGGAAGTGAGAAAAGGTGATGTGAAGTGGGGAGAGAAACACCAGGGTCATGGGGGTTTGTCGAAAGCCCCAATTCTGAGACGTCTCCAAGCTTCTCAAACCACTCGCACGCGCTGTACATATCGTCCACCATCACACCGATGTGGCCTGCCAGGGAGGTGATGTGAGGTGATGGAATGCGAGGTGATGTGAGGTGATGGGATGCGAGGTGATGCGAGGTGATGGGATGTGAGTTGATGTGAGGTGATGGGATGTGAGGTGATGTGAGGTGATGGGATGTGAGGTGATGTGAGGTGATGGGATGTGAGGTGATGTGAGGTGATGGGATGTGAGGTGATGTGAGGTGATTGGGATGTGAGGTGATGTGAGGTGATGGGATGTGAGATGATGTGAGGTGATGGGATGTGAGGTGATGTGAGGTGATGGGATGTGAGATGATGTGAGGTGATGGGATGTGAGATGATGTGAGGTGACGGGATGTGAGGTGATTGGTCCATGTATGGTGAAAGCTCCGGTGCCCTGCCCTCTCACTCACCCCAGACCCTCTCACGTGCCCCAGCCCCTCTCACTCACCCCAGCCCCTCACTTGCCCCAGCCCCTCTCACTCACCCCAGCCCCTGTCACTAGCCCCACCCCCCTCACTCACCCCAGCCCCTGGGGTCCGAGTTGCCATTGTGGTAGCCCTTGAAATCAGGGTCTGACTCCGTGCCCCAGTTGCTGTGAAGCAACACGCGGAGGGTGGGGGGGAAAAGGGAGAACCGGGGAAAGCGAGACGAGGGGAAGGGGAAATGGGGGAAAGCAGGTGGGGGGAGAAGGGGGAGGGGAAACGGGGAGGGGCATCATGGGGTGAGTGAAAGAAGATTCAGAGCACGAAAACCAGGTGCCAGCAACCAGGTGCCAGCAACCAGGTGCCAGCAACCAGGTGTCAGCAACCAGGTGTCAGAGCATGACTGATGTTGGTGTCAGCAACAACACAGTTTACTGAAAAACGAGGGCATTGCTGCCAGCCCCTTCCGTCCCGCCCACCCCTTTCCACCCCTCTCTACCGCCCCTCCCATCCTTCCACGATTCAGGAACACGGAATGTCAGCACGGGTATTCTCTGTAACCCGCAAGTATGAGCATCAAAGCATCACTCACCAGCTTGACAGGCCAAGGCAACACCAAGTACCCGCCCCCGCCCACCCCCCCCAAGGGCCCCCCAAGTCCCTCCCAAGGTGCCCCCGATGCCCCCCTGACTCCTCCCCCATCCCGTACTGTGTGAGTTCAATGGTGGCCTTGCGCGTGAACAGTCATTTTCTCCACATTCAAAATCCACTCCGCTCAATTCCCTCCCAGTGGCCCCTAAAGACCCCCCCAGGAACTCCCCCCATGCCGTACTGTGTGAGTTCGATGGTGGCCTTGCGCGTGAACAGCCACTTCACCCTCTCCTCCTCCGTCTTTGGGATCTCCTCCGGTTGCTGTGCGCACAGGAGGCAAGGCGGGGCGGAAGAGCGTGAGGAGGGAGATGGTTTAAGGTACAAGGTCTGACAATGCTAAGGAAGCGAGGAAGCTATGGCAGACAGAGAGGTATGAGAGGCGTGAGATGCATCCACGGTTTGGGTGCGACCATGGGACCATGGGTTGTGTTGTGTAGGTGCAAGCATGGATGGATGGATGATGTGCTGTGTGTGTGACCGTGACGTCACCTCGTAGCCCATGAAGTAGAGGGAGAACTTTGCCTCTGGAAAGTCGAGGCGCTTCAGCAGTCTGCAACAAAGAAACAGCCACATGAAAAGGCTCATGCTCACAGTGCCGGGAGTGATGACGACTCGACTCGAGTCGTCCTACTCGTTCCTCTCACCTCACCAGCCTCTTCAATCATTCATACTCACTCATTCCTCTCAAGTTGAGAGTCTCAACTGAAAGGACGTGGTATGACACTGCAGGCCCCTCTTACGCCACGCCCCTTCTACCCACCCACCTCATGCCAAGCACAGAGGAGTAGAAGTGCAGACTGGCCTTGGGGTCCTTGATGCGATACATCTGATGCCATGCCATGCCATGCCATGCCATGCCATGCCATGCCATGCCATGCCATGCCATGCCATGCCATGCCATGCCATGCCATTCCATGCCATGCCATGCCATGCCATGCCATGCAATGCCATGCCATGCCATGCCACGCAATGCCGTAACATTTCATGCCATGCCATGATATGCCAAGTCACGCCATGCCATGATATGCCAAGCCACGCCATGCCATACATGTGAGGTTGTTATGTATGAACACAGCAAGAGATAGGAAACCCCACGCTTTGAGCAGAGGACAAATGAAGTATACCAAAATCGTGAAGAGCTGGGAAAGCAGGGACGGAAGACACGCAAGGGCATGTGTGCATCTGCTTGTTACAGGCAAGCTCCAAGGTGACGTATGTGATAGAGACTTTTACAGGGCATCACACCCGTCACCATACCGTGTGGCTTTTGAGTCAACTCAAAAGGCATGTGTGCATCTACTTGTAGCAGGCAAGCTGCAAGGCGACGTATTTGCTGGTGACTTTTACAGGGCCTCACAGCAAACACACATCACCATACCGTACCGTCTGCTGCATGATGTATTTGCCGGTGACATTTCAGACGTCTCACAAACACACACAATCATCACGCGGTACCATACTGTACCATACCGTCTGCTGCATAATGTATTTGCTGGTGGCGGGATCCACATCTTCTACTAGCCCCAGGTTATTGCTCGCTGACTCCTTCTCTGCCGCAGCCGCTGTCGCCGCCGCCGCCTCTGCTGGTGAATGTTAAGGCACTTCACAACAGACACATTACCATTCCGCACCGCACCATACCGTCTGCTGCATAATGTATTTGCTGGTGGCGGGATCCACATCTTGTACTAGCCCCAGGTTATTGCTCGCTGACTCCTTCTCTGCCGCAGCCGCTGTCGCCGCCGCCGCTGCTGGTGAATGTCAAGGCACTTCAAAACAGACACGTTACCATTCCGCACCGCACCGTACCGTCTGCTGCATGATGTATTTGCTGGTGGCGGGATCCACATCCTCTACCAGCCCCGGGTTATTGCTCGCTGACTCCTTCTCCGCTGTCGCCGCCGCCGTTGCCGCCGCTGCTGCTTCTGGTGCCGCTGCCATAGCGTGAACAGACACGCGCTGGTGCTGGGAAAGAAGGGGTGATGAATCGGGAGGGAGACCAAGGAAAAAAAGGCCACGGATGATGCAGAGAGGATGGAGAGGCGGGAGAGAGGCAGGAGGGCTATGCAGCAATGGGAACATCGACCTTAAAGATACATGCATTCCTTCAGTGCTGCACTCGAGGCTCATATCATGATGCACTGAACACTCAAATCACTTACCTTAGCGGATGACGCGTGGACCAAATTCATTATTAAGGCGCCTAATAGAATACTAATTACCTTGGCGGATGTCGCGTGCACCACATTCACTATTGAGGCGCCTAGAAGAATACTAATTACCTTGGCAAATGTCGCGTGCACCACATTCACTATTGAGGCGCCTAGAAGAATACTAATTACCTTGGCGGATGTCGCGTGGACCGACGCGGGCAACGAGAATCTTCGGAGCGACGACAAGTACGACCTGCGAGACGCGTTAACGGCTGCTCGCCCGCCAATGGATTGCTGCCACGCGGCGGTTGCACGAAGCGTAAGTCCGGAGGCTGCACAGGCCATGCAACTGGCGACGTGGGCAGAAGATCGAAACAAAGGCTCAGATTTGTCGAGCGTGCTACAGCACAACTGACATTCTAGAAACAGTTTTAACCGACAAAGGGACACCAGATGAACGTGCGGAGGTGAAAGGACCAAAAAAAAAAAAAAAAAAAATCTAGCGAAGCCGTTTTGGCGGCGAGGCGGCTTACCACCACGGACGACTGCCCGAGCACTGAGCACTGACGCTTCCAAGAAAGACGCTGCCTTGATTCCTGCGGATTCGGCTAGTGAGATTCCAGCAGGAGCAACAGAGCGCAAACAATCCAAAAATGTGAGCAGAATGGGAAGTGGTACAGTTTTGGGGTGGAATGGAGTTTGGGAAAAAGCTGGGAATGGGACTTGCGATGCGAGTAGCTGGTTGACGAAATTATTTACAGAGCGCCACCATATCGCGTTCATACTGTACATGGATGGTCCTAGAGATTGCCTTTGTGGTGTGCGAAAGCCTCAAGTAGGGAAGAACCAATCAGAAACGCTTGATCGAACTAGATTTGCTGACACTCTTGCGTGTGCGACGATTTGATGTAGATGGTGCTGCCAAGGCCACACTTCGCAAGGGCTGCTTTCCTGCTTTCCTCGATAAGAGCTTGGAGTCCGGAAGGTCTGACAAATAATAACACATAGAAACACATTTGTTCATGTTACCATGCCTAGCTTTAGGACCTCCCTATCCAGTCTAAATAGAGACTGCTTCTGATGTGGCCATAAGCAAAACTCTTATTTAGTGCCCATAAGTGCGGCAAGCTGGCTTTGCAGGTCATCCAAATCTGCCTCGGCGGGCACTGACACCACCTCCTCAGCTGATGCAGAAGCAGCCACCTCGTCTGCTTGAGGCAAGGAACGCAGGAGTCCCTCTGGCAGCTGCTCTGCTTGCGAAGATGATGGCGCTGCCGCTGCTTGATTGCACGGGATTGAACAGAACAAGGCAGGAGTAAAAGGAGAATAAAAAAAAAAAACCAATTTCTGTGGCGACAAACCGTTCGCAAGCGCATATGCTTGGGCTAGAGGAGAGCACACTTGCACATGCACGCACTTGCACGTGCACACACATGTACATACACAAATGGACATTGCACAAACAAAGGCACTAAACAGTGGCTTCAAACAGACATACTACAGATACAAAGCAGCAAGGGAAAACGAAGAGGGGAGGGATAGCATGGGAGGTGATGGGATGAACTGCCAGAACCTGATGATGCCGATGCAGCAGTCGATGCAGCTGGAGCATCGTCCTCAACGACACTGTAAAGGAAACAACGGGGTATAACGCAGTAACACCGAAGACACCACATGGGAGGAGTAAGAGTGTCAAGCGCTGAAGAGACCAAAGAAAAGAGAGACGCGAGGGTAGGATAGAGGAAGACAAAAAGTTTAAACAGTGCTCGTGGATCACATCAGAGACACATGGTTGTAACCACATACCATGTCCTGCCACATGTGGATCACATCACAACATATGCAATCGCCAGCCCATCATCACCTGATGCTCCACTCGTTCTCCGCATGCACTGGCACAGCCTCCTTAAGCTTCTCCTCCTCCTGCTGCTGCTGCTGCCGCCGCTGCTGCCTCGGCTGCCTCTCGCCTGGGCCTGTCAGCCTCGTACTCAGCCTGCCGTGTGGAAAGGGCCGGGTAGAGGGCGTTTAAAGTAGACTTGATAGTCTGCCCTGCTTGTGATGAGCTGATTCAAGTGTTGCCTCTCGCCTGGGCCTGTCAGCCTCGTACTCAGCCAGCCGTGTGGAAAGGTGCCAAGAGACAGATACCAGGACAGAAGGATGATAGAAGATACGGACAGAGGGATAGGTAAGCAGCAGAGGGCAGTAGGGAGAGAGAGAGCACAGGTGCGAGCAGGAGCACAAGGTCCCTTAGACCAGTGACACGTGGTGACCATGACCGTGCCATGCAGCGCTGGGCGTCGGACTGCACCACCATTCACTGCACTGCACTCCACTGCACACACTACACTGCAGAAATACTGCATACTAGCACTGTGCACTGCAGCGCACCTGTCGCTTGCGGCACATGTCGTTGGTGCACTGGGGGTTGGGCAGCATGCGCATGGTGGGGAAGAAATCCTTCAGTGCACTGTAGCCCTGGATGGGATAGGAGAAGGGGGGACGGGCAAACGCAACAACGAGGGATGCGAGGAGGGGAGGCAAAAGGGGGAAGAAGTACTTAAGCGCATAGCCCTGGGGGCAATGGGAAGGAGCACAGAAGGGCAAAGGAAGGGGGCAGGAGTCAGGCACGGAGGGTGGCGAAGAAAGAGGTGAGGTGGGAAGGAAGGAGGAAGCAAAAGAGGAAGAGAGAGTGAGCAAGAGCATACCAGAGGGAGCTGAGAACGCTAGACGCGAGTAGGTAGGGGGGAGTTGAACTTGAACAGAACCAGCCTAGCTAGTAGCAACCTTGAAGAGGGAGCTTAATAAGCGCAGGTGCAGGTTACGATGGGCAAAGTGATACATTGCGATGATGCGCGCGTAGCGTAGCATACAAGGTAGGGAGTGACGGGTCCAAAGCGCAGGAGGAACTTGAGGGTGTTCTGCACGAGCAGCCCTGCAATGATGCCCATGGTGGTGGGCAGAGACGCCGCACACACGCCCTCCCGCTTCAACGTGCGCTCATCCACTCCCGATGCCACCACCTGCAATGGACGGTCGCAGGGTGGGGGAAGCGCAGGAGGAACTTGAGGGTGTTCTGCACAAGCAGCCCTGCAATGATGCCCATGGTGGTGGGCAGAGACGCCGCACACACGCCCTCCCGCTTCAACGTGCGCTCATCCACTCCCGATGCCACCACCTGCAATGGACGGTCGCAGGGTGGGGGAAGCGCAGGAGGAACTTGAGGGTGTTCTGCACAAGCAGCCCTGCAATGATGCCCATGGTGGTGGGCAGAGACGCCGCGCACACGCCCTCCCGCTTCAGCGTGCGCTCATCCACTCCCGATGCCACCACCTGCCGTGGAAAAGCAGGAGGGAGAGGGGCGTGGGGATGGGGAAGATCGGGAGAGAAGTGTATACTGATGATAGATAATAGATATTAAGGGAATTTGGCCAGAAGGGAGTGATATTAGGCCGGTTGCAGCGCAGAGCTGGAGGAGAGCGGACAAGAATAAAGCATCAGAAAAAAACGAGGGTATGAGGGTATGCGGTTATTTTGAGGCTATGCGGTCATGGGATTAGGTAGGCATCACGGTATGAGGGTATGAATGCACACCAGAGGAGGAGCACAGGCGAAGCAGGCGGTTTCTCCCGGGATGAGAAGCTGGATGTGGCCTGATACTGCGTCCTCTGACACTCCCGACTCCATCCACACTTGCTTCAGCTCGTTGCATGCCTGCCATGCACGCGCACCACAGGGGGTTGTGCAATCAACAACAGCACCACCAGCGTCTATTAACTCAACCTCCCACCCATCCCCCACCCCCACACACAGTCACACTCCTCTCACACCCCACAGCCTTCTCTTCCCAACTCTTCCCTACCTCTCCCCTCCGCTCCATACCTGGTTGACGACCATGCGTGCCTCATAGTTATCAACGCACAACAGCACCAGTGGCATCATCTAGCTCAGCCCGCACACCCAACCCTCAGCAACCACCCTCCCAACGCCCTATTCCAACCCGTTCTCTATCCCCCTCCCACCCCATCCCCCCTGCTTACCTGATTGACGACCATGCGTGCCTCATAGTTATCAACGCACGACAGCACCAGGTCCACGCGGCTCTTGCTGCGCTCTGACGGGTGAGTCAGACTCGCCGTGAACCGCTCAAAGCCCTCCACTGTCGTGATGTTGATCGTGTAGCTCTGGAGAGGAGAGAGGGAGAAGTGGGAGAAGGGCGGGGGACAGGGGAGGTAGGCGGAAGCGAGACATGGTGTTAAGAAAAGACAAGTTAGGCATAAGGGAGGAGGAGTGGGAGGAGGAGGAGGAGGTGTACACAGGACCAGTGGCACGGTGAGAGGAAACATGTGGGCATGGTGAGGGAACTGACCTCAAGGCCAACATCCGGGTTGATGCCTTGAAGTGTCTGCACTGCAGCGTCTGTCTTGGTCATGCCCACCTGCCACGCGATCGCGGTGGTAGGGGGACGAGGCGAGGGAGAGAGAGGGAGGTGATGAGTGGTTGAGTGAGTGCGTGAGTGGAGAGCCCAACTTGACAAAGAAGCATGTGCTATATGAGTTGTAGCGCGTTTGATGACAACGTGACACCAACAGTAGCACACCAGCGCACCCATCAGACCTGCAACAGCACACCGCGCCCAGCACCCAGCACAAAGCACACAGCAGGCAGCAAGCAGCAGCACGCAGGCTCACGACACGCACCTGGTCGGGGCGGAAGAAGAGGCGGTTCATGTTGGCGAGCTCCACGCTGTCATAGTCGTACAACAGCAGCCAGCCGTCCATTGCTGTACAGAGCAGCACCCAACCAACACCCAGCACCCACCCAACACCCAGCACCCACCCAAGACCCAGCACCCACCCAACACCCAGCACCCACCCAAGACCCAGCACCCACCCAACACCCAGCACCCACCCAACACCCAGCACCCACCCGACACCCAGCACCCAACCAACACCCAGCACCCAACCAACACCCAGCACCCAACCAACACCCAGCACCCACCCAAGACCCAGCACCCACCCAAGACCCAGCACCCACCCGACACCCAGCACCCACCCAGCACCCAGCACCCAGCACCAAGCAACACTGAGTTGTGTAGTACGCACGTACCTGGTCAGGGCGGAAGAAGAGGCGATTCATATTGGCGAGCTCCACGCTGTCATAGTCGTACAGCAGCAGACGCCCAATGCCACACCGCGTCAGCATCTCCGCTGCCACACTGCCCACTCCTCCCACTCCCTGGTACAGGCCGGCACCACCAGAAGGGAGGGGGCAGACAGGCAGACAGGCGGACAGGCACATGCAGACAGGCAGACCGGCAGACAGACAAATAGGCAGGCAGGTGGGCAGGTGGGAAGGGAGGGAGGGAGACAGACAGGCAGGCATGCAGGCACGCAGGTAGGCAGGCAGACATGCACGGGTGGGAGGACGCACCCGTGTGTTTAAGCTAGGAGACAAGCACGCAGTGGGAAAAAAGGGGCATGGGATTCTTGACAGAAAGCATGGCAGGTGAAAGAGCAAGAGTGATGCAAAGCTGAGAAGAAATGATGACGGTGGGGGGATGGGGCTGGGAGGGGGCGCGGAAAGGGCGCAAGAGAGCGGAGCAAGAGAGGGGGACGAGCCGAGGCACTGGGAAGATAGGGAGGGAGGGAGAGACGTGAACGGTCAGGCGAGGGAGGATAGGGAGGATGGGCGAAAAATTTACGTTATGGGAGAACGGATGGGTGAAAAGACTTTGCAAAGAGCGAGGGGGAGAAAATGGGGAAGGGGGAAGGGAAATTGAGTGACAGGGGGTGTGAGGGGCTGAGGGCATACCACAATAGCGACGGTGTACTTTCGAATGTCTTGGTAGTTGTGCACGATGCCCATGCGCTGCAGGGCCATGAGACGACTGTATGGGTTGCTACTCACCACCTCGCCACTCATCTCCTGCCCACACGCATGCAGGCAGGCAAGCACGCAGGCAGACATCCGGGCAGGCAGGCAGGTAAGCAAGCAAGCAAACATACAAACAAGCAGCACAAGAAGGGAGCAAGCATGCACGCACAACACGCAGACAAGGAAGCAAACCAGTGTGAAAAGGAGGAGCAAGCGTGGACGCATGTGTGTGCAAGCAAGGACGTCTAGAAGGTAACATTCAAGAGAGAATGCTCGATGATTGAGACAAGGCGGATGAGACGGAGTGGAGAGCACAGGAGGACACGGCATGAGCGGAGAAAGTGGCATGGGAAGGGAAGGGACGGAAATTGAAGGAGAAGGGGAAGGGAAGGAAAGTGAAGGGGAAGGGGAAGGGAAGGAAAGGGAAAGGGAACGGGACGGGAAGGGAAGGACGCACTCGAAGGTTAGCCTCCACAGCCGTCGCTTCGTCTGCTGACGTGGAAGATCCCTTGATAGCCTGCAGCCATTGCAGATGCTGCTGCGCCTGTGAACGGATACGATAAGGAGTCGGGAGGTGATTGAGAGATACGGTGAGGGAGATAGAACGAGGGATCGTGAGGATAGAGAACATACAAGAATAGCAGGAGGGATGCGAGTGGGAGCAGGAAGGAGGACGGAGGAAGGAGGAAGAGAAAGGAATAGAAAGTAGTGAAATATCTTCAGATGGGAAACCGAACGGCATGTCACTAGCCCGCGAAGCAAGACAAAAACTAAAATGTCAGATGGACTGCTCGTAAGATAAAGACGACAGGGACGAAAAGAATGGGAGAACACCAGAATGGGATCCAAAAGCGGGATAACCTACGGGACTCCTGCAAAAATGACAGTAATCTACGGAAGAAGCAGAAAATTTTATGAGGATCATAAGCCAATGAGAAAATGACAAGAGATCCACGCTTGGTGAAAGCTACGACGAAGCTAGGTTGCACGGACCCGTCCAAGCTCGTCGGGTGATAGTCGCGATTGGAGCTTCGAAAGGAGGTCTATCAAGCCCGCCGCGTGCGACGCTGCATCCGCCATTGTTGGATTTGTGTGACAAAATCTGGGGATGGATCAGAGAAAAGCGGCCAGCGAAATTGCCGAATGATGGTAGGGATGTGAAGGGGAACTTTCAACAGAACATACATCACTGCATAGATATGATTGGCTTGTTAACTTACCAGTGATAGCTTCGACTTGTATCTTAACGAGTACAGGTCCTCGATCTTGCAGCTGGCTGCACGTGAGGTAGCCCAGTGGTGTGAGATGTGGCCACGTCGCCACCTGCCAACGGGTAACCCCCTTACACCCAACTCAACCTTCGTTGCATTGCGGCAAGCGAACTACCGCGAGATGTGGAATGTTTGTGTGGAAGACGGAAGCACAGCACCCAACCCAACCCACACTGCTTCTGTCAGAACCGAACGAACCAACCGAAGCTCAGCCTCAGTGCCCGCTGCGCCACTTGCTCAGGCTCGTTTCTTTCCATTCATTCTCCTTCCCCTGGTCCGAGCGGCTGGTTCATGGGAATCCCTATGGCCATGAAACACCTGGAATCCTGGGACTTTCACCAGCAGTAGTAGTAGTCACAGCTCTCGCGCATTGCTTCACGATACTAACGGCCGCGCTTCGAGGGAATTCGTCGGGTTAGAAAGTTTGGGACGAAGGCCGCGAGGTCTTCGGGAAGCGAGCAGGAGGATGGGATGGACAGGCGTCTCGCTTGCCTGCCCACCTTCTAACCATCGTTGCGCGCCAACATTACTCTCCTCTCCCTCCTTCTCCTCCTCCTCCTCTTCGTCCTCCTCCAATGGGGTTACGCCAGGATCTTTCAAGTCACCCTTCCTCCGCGATCATTCTTGTTCCCGGCTAAAAACAACACCACTGCTGGCGCCGCCATGTGCAAGCCGCTCTGTCTCTCAACCTCACCGTCCGCACCACTCTCTCCACCGCCATTACGGCCGCTTTCACGTCCTCCCTGTTCTTTCTACTCCTGCCGCCCTTTCTTGTCTTCCACCAACCGCCTTCACCCGCGCCTCGCCGTTGCATTCCCGCGGCAGATGCGGCGTGAGGAGCGGCAGCGTAAGGAGCGCCGCACGCAAGAGCAGCAGCGTCAGCAGCGGTAGCCGCTTCGAGACGCGAAGAACGAGATGCAACGCGACGAGGGGAGCTCCCGCGAACGCGGAGAGTGAGGAGGACGACGCGGGGGAAGCAGCAGCGGCGGCGGGCGCGACAGCAACGGGGGAATCCGCGCAGCGGGGCAAAACGGCGCGCGGATTGACGGCCGTGGTGCTGGCAGCCGCGCTGGTCCTAGCCCCGCCTCTGCCTACCCCCGTGCTGCACTGGAGATTGGACGACTCGCAGCTGTCGCAGCTGTCGCAGGTGTCGCAGGTGGTCCAGCCGTTGGGGCAGGAGCAGGAGGTTGAATGGGAGGCACAGGCGCAGCAATGGCGCCAGGCAGGGCTGGGGATGGGAGTGGAGGTGCGATGGGACGACGGTGCCGCGCATGCTTTCCTACTGGAAAAGGTACGTCCTTGCTGCCCTGCTGCCTTGCTGCCTTGCTTCTGCTTGTCTCCCTGCCTCGCTGCCTCCTGGCCTCCCTGCCTTGCTTGTTAGAGACGAAGCAGTAGCCGCGTAGGTGAGACTGACAGTGCAGCCTTCACTGAAATGCCACCCTTGTAGTCTCACACTCCCTCTTCTTCCACTCCACTCTCTCTCAAGCTCATTCCTTCGTTTTCCCATTCATTCCCCTCCATACCCCTGCATTCCCCCTCGCATTCCTGGCGTGTTTGATGCTCTCTCTCTCTCTGCTCGCAGATCAAGACACTGGAGCGCTCTTTGGAAAGCCTGGTCACCTCCATTAAGAATGGCAAGGTGCAATAACAGTGGCCCCTCGTCTCATTTCATTGTCGCTCACTCTCTCTCTCGCCCTCCTCCATTCCTCTCCTGTCCACTAATTTCCTGCCCCTGCCCCCCTCCCTCTCCCTTTCTTCCATTGTCCTCGTCTCCTGGTCTCACTCTCCCTCTGCTCTCCAATCACCAGTGCGACAGCATTTAAACGCTTCCAAAACCCACACCACGCACCCGCCGTGTCTCCTCCCCTTTTGTCCCCCTCTCCCCACCGCATAGCACAATAAGCTTCTTTTTTCCATTCAGTTCCTGTGCATAGTGCTCTCTCCCATGCTCTCTCCCACGCCCCCTCTTTTCCCCAAGCTCCCCTCCCCGTGTATTCCGCCTGTCGCCCTCACCGTACTCGCACTCCCCCCCTGTTACGCCCCTCCCTCTCTGCCTGACCCCAGGCGCTTGACAAGTTCATCACTGTGTGGACGGGCCCTCTGGTGCGTGCTATGCCATGCCATGCCATGCCATGCTGTGCCATCTCATGCTATGCTTTGCAATGCCATGCCATGCCATGTTGTGCCACTCGCAATTGCTGCCCGTTGTGTCATAGTTTAATAACAAGAAATTTGAGGAACGGGATGGGTCAGGAGGAATGTCACGTCGTGTTATGTCAAGTCATGTCATGTCAAGTCATGTCAAGTCATGTCATGTCAAGTCATGTCAAGTCATGTCAAGTCATGGCATGTCATGTCATGTCATGTCATGTCATGTCATTTATGGCATGCCATGGCGTGACATGGCATCATCCCTACAGAGCTCTTTACTCCTTCAAGTTGCCACCTCTATTGCGTAAGACTAAGAATCCTGATAAATGCTCTCTGCGACCATTCTCGTCGGCCTCGTGTGCTGTTGCCTCTCCTCCCTCCCCTGCCCATCTCACCCATCTCGTCCACCGCATCCAGCCCCACCTCACCACCAGGTAACATCAGACGTGCTGGATGCGCAGGTCAAGGCAGAGCTCGTCAATGGAGCCATTCGTGTTGGGCTCATGTGCTGTCTCCCTCTCCTCCCTCTCCGCCCCATCGCGCCCATCTCACCTGCCCCTACCTACCATCACACCAGGTGACATCAGACGTGGTGGATGAGGGGGTCAAGGCAGTGCTCGACGCTGAGAAGAGGGTACGTCGTCTGCTCTCGCACTCCTCTGCATTGCCCTGCTGCTATTGCCGGAGGGGAAGGGAGGGGGTGGGGAGGGGGGTGGGTTGGGGGGGATGGGGAAGGGAGAGGTGCTTCGGGAAAGGGGTATGGGATGCTTGCTTTAGCTTCTCCTTTATCTTATGTTGTTAACATATTGTCCCTTGCTCGTCCTAGCTTCCCCTCGCACGTGCCAGTCTCTCACTTTGCCACTCTCCGCTTTCATCAGTCATCCCCCTCACCGCTCTCCTCCTCTCCCTCCTCACCACTCTCCCACTCATCACTCTCCCTCCCCACCACTCTCCCCTTCACCGCTCTCCTCACCACTCACCACCCGCTCCACTCTCACCACTCCGCTCCCCCCCTCACCTTGCCCATCCGCCATCTCCCATGTGCCCCTAACCTCACTCACTGCACCACGGGTCCATGCCATGCCATGGGTCAGGAGGCGGGCTTTAACGTGGAGCGCATAGGGGAGTATGTTGCTGACGCTGCTGCCGATGTTGCTTCCAAAGTACGCTCTGCCTGCCTGCCTGCCTGCCTGCCTGCCTGCTTGCTTGCTTGCCTTCTTGCTTGATTTCATTTCTTTCTTGCTTGGAGCTTGCATTGCTTTAGGTACTTCTCAAAAGTGAAACTAGCAGCCTCCAAAGTACGTCTTGCTTGCTTGCAGCTCTCACCATCTCACTTCCTCTTCCACTCCCATCGTCCTCGCTATTCGTTATCTCACGCACGCAGCTCTCGCGCTTCACTCTTGCAGCGGAGGGCGAGGTGCCTGTGGCGGCCGCCACTGGGATCGTCGAGGGCACATTCGATAAGGTGAGCAGCTGTGACCCAAGGCGGTCAAGAGAGGAAGTGTGAGGGGCCGAGAGGTGGATCTGGGGTGCAGCAGATGTGTTTTTTCAAGTGAGAGGGTCCAGGAGGGGAGGAGGCTCTTGGAGGAGATTGTTCTTCTCTCAATCTGTAAACAATATCCCTCACATGCTTTGCCTGTCATACGTCGTCCACTCCCTCTCCTCTCCCCCTTCCCTCCCACTCCTCTCCCCCTTCCCCCTCCCCCTCCTGCAATGGCAGTTCCTGGCGTTTGAGTTGTCAACGCTGTTCTCCCACCTGCAGCGCCTAGCCATCTTCGCCCCCATTGTCGCTGCTGGCATGTGGTGGTGCGTGCGTGCATCTTCCCCTTCCCCCCCTCCCCCCACCCAACCCCTCCTCTCCTTCCCTCCTCTCACACCGCAAGTATTGCTGCTGCAGCGATTTTCGCCCCCATTGTCACTGCTGGCATGTGGTGGTGCGTGCATCTTTTCCCAGTGTGTTGCCCCTGTGCCGCTCACTCCCATTGTTGCGCTCATCTCACCTCACCCCTCGTGCTGCTGCCGCTGCTGCACCTCCAGTGTTGACCCGCATGCTGCCGCTATGTCAAGTTTATTCTTGAGAGTTCTCAAAAGTAGACTCAAAGCTGCTGCACCCCTGGTGTTGATCTGCATGCTGCCGCTCCTGCTGCTTCTGATCCTGATACTTATGATGGTTCTGCTGCGTGTTTGTGTGTGTTCATGTGGGGGTGGTGGGTGGGGCCACATGAAAATGCAGGCAAATGCAAGGTCGGAATCTCTTCCCTTGGTGCGTATCTCTCGCTCAACCCCTTCCCCTCTCCTCCCCTCCCCTTCCCTCCCCTCTCAGCTGGTCGTAGACTTCCTTTATTTCATCGAACCCCGTACCGTACACACACGAGGGCATAGTGGTTGTCATTGTCAGTGAACTAAGAATTGTGTTCACTAATACCCCACCTCAACTCCTTGCTTCGTTCGGACCAACATTTGACTACTCACTACTCACATGGCCCCACATCTTCTTCCAAGCTCGCCATTTTCTCGCTCGTGACTTCTAGCGTCTCACATTCTTGTCGTTTACTCTGCATCGTGCTCTCCCCCCTTCCTGCCTCCTCTCCTCTCCTCTCCTCCACTCTCTCTCTCTCCTCTCCTCTCTTCTCCTCTCCTCTCCTCTCCTCTCCTCTCCTCTTCTCTCCTCTTCCCTCCCCTCCTCTCCTCTTTTCTCCTCTCACATCCTCTTCCCTCCCTTTTCCTCCTCTCCACTCCGTTCCCCTCTTCTCCCCTCCTCTCCCCTCTTCTCCCCTCCTTTCCCCTCCCGTCCAATCCCCTCCCCTCCCCTCTCCTCCCCATTCCCCTTTCTCATGCCGAACCCATTCTCCATAACAGGGGTGGGGGAGAGAGCTCCCCTGACGGCAGCAGCAGGGCAGGAGGAGGAGGGGGCGGGTGGGAGTCGGAGGAGGAGGAGGAGGCGAGGCAGCAGCGGGCACTGCGAGTGAGGAGGGAGCTCCGGCGGATCGAGCTCAAGGCAGAACTCAGAGACGAGCTGGCTGCACTGGGCGAGGTGGGTAATGCATACATACAGGTGCTGTGCGGTGAAGTGGGGCGTGGTGGGGTGGGGTATGCTGCTGTGGGATGGGGTCGGGTGATTTTCCCCATCTTTTCATTCGCCCATCCCCCCACTCCCCAGCGGGCGCTAAGGCCCTCATTCCCTTCTTTACTTTATGGCCCCGTCCCTCCATCCCCCCCAACACTCCAACCCCCACCACCACACCTCCCCGGAGGGCACTAAGGCCCGGCATGCCCCCATCGTCCACGACTCTCCTCTTGCTTGCCTCTCGCTTGCTTGCATCATTCCCCGCAATCCATTCTTTCTGCGACCCCTGCCCTCCCTCCAACCCCCCATTGCTCACCCCATTGTTCACCCCATTGCTCACCCCATTGCTCACCCCATTGCTCACCCCATCCCCTTCCTCCAGCGAGCACTGAGGCCCGGCATGCCCCCGTCGTCCACCACAGCAGCGGAGCGCAGGGAGGTGGAGGACCTGCTGCTGCAGCTCTGCCAACTCGGCCAGTTTCCGCGTTCCCTCACCTTCTTTCCCCTGCTTGATCCCTTTTCCTGCCTCATTCCCTCCTTTCCGTGGCCCCTCCTCCCTCCATTTTCCCCCGCCCGTCCTTCTCCCATCCCCCATCCCGCCATCCCCCAACCATCCCTCCCCCACTCCTCCAACCCTCCCTCCCCCCGATCCCCACAGCGAGCATTAAGGCCCGGCATGCCCCCCTCATCCACCACATCAGCAGAGCGCAAGGAGGTGGAGGACCTGCTGCTGCAGCTCTGCCGGCCTGGCCCACCTTCCACACCGCACTTCCTTCTCCTCATTCCCCCATACCATCCTATCAGCAACCCTCGTCCTCCCTCCATCCCTTCATTTCCCCCTCCTTCAGAGAGCCCTGCGGCCCGGTTTGCCCTCCTCGTCCACCACATCAGCGGAGCGCAAGGAGGTAGAGGACTTGCTGCTGCAGCTCTGCCAACTCGGTTCAGCTTCCACACCGCACTTCCCTCTCCTCTTGCTTGCCTCTCGCTTGCTCCCCTGGTGCATCGTTTCCCCCCATTGCATCTTTTCCGCAACCCCTGTCCTCCCTCCATCCCCCCATTCCCCACATCACCAACCCCAAATCCGCTTCCCCATCCCCCAGCGGGCTCTGAGGCCCGGCATGCCCCCGTCGTCCACCACAGCAGCGGAGCGCAAGGAGGTAGAGGACCTGCTGCTGCAGCTCTGCCAACTCGGCCCACCCATTGGATTCCTCGCAGGCGGAGCAGCAGAGGGAGGGGACTGGGAGGGGGGAGGCGTGCAGGAGTGGGGCGAGAGTGAGGGTTGGGATGGGGACGGTGGTGGAGGAGAGAGGGGTGCTCCGCTTACACACGGATCGTGGGTTCTCATGTGAGTGCTGCCTTGGGTGGGGTGCTGCTTGGGTTGCTTGGGATGCTTGGGTTCGCTACATCTTAAGTCCCCAGTCTATTCCCCAGTCCATGCACGGACCTTCCATCTCTTCCCCTCCCCTCCCCCGTACCCGTGTCCCCGCCAACATTCCGTCCTCCCATCCCTTCCTCCCTTCCCCTCCGCCGAACCCCTCTTTCCAACCCCTCTTTCCAACCAGCTACGCCTCATGCGACCCTGAGCCGCCTCCATCCGCGGACCCGCCTCCCCTGCCGGCCATTCCCCTCTCGCCCATGCAGCTGCTGCTCCGGGCGGCAGAACTGCCAGGCGTGGAAATCGCACGGCTGACTCAGCAGATTGGATCTGATTCTGGTGGCTTTTTAACGGGCGCAGGGGGGGGAGGAGGAGGGGGAGGAGGGGCGGGAGGGAGTGGGGATGGGAGGGGAGGGAGAGAGTGAGGGAGATGGTAGTGGTGGTGGAGGGGATGCATTGAGTGGAGGGGGAGGAGGAGTGGGAGCTGGTGATTCTTCCGACGTTATATCCAAAGAGTATGTGGACTTAAAGCTCGGCGCCTTGGGAAGATTTCGGCTTGGCTTTTCCTCCTCCTCCTCTTCCTCTTCCTCCTCTTTCTCCTCCTCTCAAGACTCCCAGCAACAGCAAGCAGCATCGCAGCAGCAGCAGCAGCAGCAGCAGGGGCAGCTGGCAGGGCTGTTGACATCCTTCTCCTCGCTCTCCCTCCAGCCGTTGGAGGTCTGGGGCAACACCGTTCCCTCAGATGATCTCCCGCTGCTCACACTCACTCTCCCTGTGCCCCCGGCGATTCAGAGGGCTGTGGCTGCGCGTGCAGCCACGGCAGTGGGGGGCGAGTGGGTGACGTGCTATGTGGATGATGACTTGAGGGTGGATTGCAACGAGGAAGGGCTGTTCCTTGCGTTTGCACGCGCCGAGTGAAGGAGCAAGAGAGCCTTTTTTTTGGTTCAGTCAGCTGTGTGACGTGCTGGGTGACGTGCTACGTGGATGATGACTTGAGGGTGGATAGCAATGAAGAAAGGCTGTTCCTCGCATTTGCTTGCGCTGAGTGAATGAGCTACTGAGAGGTGACAGTCATTTGTGAGATGTTTCTTGCAACCTGGAGTGCTATTCCTCCGTGCATACGGGTTGATGGAGAGAAGTGAAGCATATTGTGAGTTCAGTGCAGGGAGTCACGAGGAGCGGAGGAAGGGATGTTGAGGATATATGCAGAAGTGGTTTTTGATAAAGTGCGTACGAAGTGGACCAGCTTTGCTTTGGTAACGGAGATGCTTGTGAGGGAAGTTAACCGGGACCCTGTTGCAATGCAGCGCACACATGCTTTGTCAGTACCTATAAAGCAGCCCTACAAGACTCTTATTTTTCAATTTCACTCTGCTTAGCCTGAATGATGCCCAATTTTGACAACATGCAATCTGCTGCTGTACATTTCATGCTAGTTCTTCCACTACAGTGCTCTCCTGAGACCAGACGCCACTGTGCTGGACTGACTAAACCTTGAACAGTCCTCTCTAAAGCTTGTCGAAGCTCAGTGCCAGCACGCACGTGTTCCTGGACGTTTAGGAGTCAATACCGTACTGGTACCACGCAGGTGCCAACACGCATGTGTTTGACACACATACCGTACGTACATCCGACACCATGTCCTCCTGAGACCATGTTATGGGTGGTGCTTTGGGGTTGCGCATACGATGCATTTATACGTCAACGTGTACAGCTTTGCAATCATAGGGGCAGCTGGTGATAAAGCATAGCCAAGCCCCAACACCAGAACCAGATGAAAAAGCCAATCAATTCTCACAATGCAGGACCGGACGCATGACGAGGACGACGAAGAGTGAAGAAGGCATCGGTGTTGGCGAGCTCAAACGACGGGAGGCGACAGAGGGAGGAGTGACCCGCAAGAGCAGGAGTTGGGTTGGGTCCAAGTAGGCGCGTTCGTGCGCATAGTGTGGGGTGCGGGGTGTGTGTGTGTGTGTGTGTGTGTGTGTGTATGCGTGCGTGCCTGTGTGAGTGTGGGTGCGCCCCACAGCAGCAAGGCTTGGCTTCTAAATTCCGTCTACTCGAGGAACATCTTGGAAAGGCGTTCATACTTGCCGATGTTGTGCCCGCCTGCATAGTGCACTATGAAGTCCCCGGGTGTGTACTCGTTCTGCGTGTGGCTGCACGGCACACTCATGTACCTGCCAGGGGGGGACGGGGGGGTTGCAAGAATGTTCTAGGCCCTTCAAGTATTGTGCCCGCCTGCATAGTGCACTAAAAAGTCCCCGGGTGTGTACTCGTTCTGCGTGTGGCTGCACGGCACACTCGTGTACCTGCCAGGGGAGGGGATGGATGTAGAACTGTAGAAGGCTGATGGGGAAAGTTGATGGTTGCTGATAAGAAGAAAACCACTTGGACGTGATTGGAGTGAAAGAGCATGGCATGGGATGGCCCGGCATGGGATGGTCCGGCATGGCATACCCTGTCTCTCTGGTAGTTGCATGGCATGATGCTCACGTGTTAACTGTGAGTCACAATGCTGTCACCATATGACGTGGTACCTACCTGTACGGTATGATGCTGACATGGGCATGAAAGTCCTCCGGGTGCTTGAGGCGGTACAGGTCGATGGCGTCATGGTCCCAGAACTCCTGCCGGATGGACGAGTGGTAGAACTGGTACTGCGCCTCCAGGAACGACTGTAGGCGGGATGATGGCATTGGGGAAAAAGATAGAAACTTTGGCACAGGGAAACGGCACGGTGGTTGGAACTTGGTTCCACGGCATGGTCCCAGAACTCCTGGCGGATGGACGAGTGGTACAAATGGTACTGCGCCTCCGAGAACGACTGCCAAAGGGTATGGGGCGAGAGGCAGTCGATAGAGAGAAGCAGCGGGTAATGAGGCGCCTCAAAAGTCGCATCGGAGTGTGCTTTCAGAACTCCTGCCGGATGGGCGGGTGATAGAACTGGTACTGCGCTTCCAGGAACGACTGCCGGATGATGGTATGAAGGATGAGAGGCAGTCGGGCATAGGAAAACGGCACGGTATCAGAACATGGTGATGGCTGGACGTGTGGTGTAACTTACACCTTTCTTTTCACTCCATCCCTTCACGACCCCCCTCTACCCCTCTCCAACCCCCAATCTCCATCCTTCCCCTCCTATCCCCCTCCCCCCCCTCACCTTCACCCAAGTAGTGCTGCGCATGATGTAAACCCCCGTGTTGACCTGCGACTCGGCTCTCGGCTCGGCATACCGGCGGTACCGGCACCCCATGGTGTAGACAGCATCGCTGCGCGACGTGTTGTAGGGCGCGGGGAGGCCCAATCAACCCATACGGCACAGCACTGCACCGCATACAACCGCTTCCTCCAACAGTTGCCCCCTTTTCCAATCCATCCCCTTCCGCTCCCCCCTCCCCCTCCCTCCACCCTCCCATCCCCCCCCCCCCCCCCCCCAGCGCCCCCTCACCTTAACCCAGGCAGTGCTACGCATGATGTAAACGCCCGTGTTGACCTGCGACTCAGCTCTCGGCTCGGCATACCGGCCGTAGCGGTACCCCATGGTGTAGACAGCATCGCTGCGCGACGTGTTGTAGGGCGCGGGGAGGTCGAGCAGCGCGTGGAAGGAGAGCGTGTGGTTGAGTATGAGCGCGTCCGCGTCTATGTGCACGACTGTGTCTGCGAATGAGAGTACTAGTAGCATGGCTCGCACCTGGATGGGAGGAAGGGGAGGAGGTGATGCGGAGAGAGGAGAAAGAAGAGGTGGGGAGAGAAGAAGCGCGGAGAGAGGAGGTCGGAAGATCGGGGATGGGGGGAGACGAGGCACAGAGAGGGGAGGTCGAGCAGCGAGTGGAAAGGAGAGCGTGTGGTTGAGTATGAGCGCGTCTGCATCTATGTGCACCACTGTGTCCGCGAATGACAGAACAAGTAGCATGGCCCGCACCTGCAGCAACAACGGGGGGAAGTGCGGAGAGACGGGAGTGAAAGGAGAGCGTGTGGTTGAGTATGAGCGTGTCCACGTCTATGTGCAAAGGAGAGTACTAGCAGCATGGCTCGCACCTGTGGGGGGGTTGAGCGGGGAGAAGAGACAGGGAGACGAGAGCGGAGAAAGGGTTGGGGACCACGAGTAAGGATTTGGAGGAGAAACTGAGAAATGCGAGAGTCAGTGGGTGGGTGAGCGTGTGAGTGAGGGAGTGAGGGAGCGGGCGAGTGAGCGAGAGAGGCAGGTAGGGAGGGGTCTGGTCTGTACCTTGGACCATGCATGGGGGCGCACATAATCAAGGCTAACGGCCACCTTGCAGTATCTGCAGGCATGGTGCGCACAGTACAGCAGGCAGTTGTGCTTTTTTGAGTCGACTCAGAAATTACCTTGGACCAGGCGTGGGGCCGCACGTAGTCAAGGCTGACAGCCACCTCGCAGTATCTACACGCATGGCGCGCACAGTACAGCAGGCGGTTGCGCCGCATCAACACCACGTAGTCCTGCTCACACCACGTGCGAAGCGAACGAGCAAGAGAGAACGAGACAGAGAGAGAGAGAGAGATGTGCGAAAGTGTGAAAGGAATGCAGGGGAAGAGAGGGCGTGGGTGGTTGGAGGAGGAGAGGAAAAGAGAGGAAGCAGAGCCACTGCACATAACCCATACGAGAGGAAGGGCTCTTTTAAATCTTTCTCAAAGAACGCCATCCCACTAACCACACGCTCACACCTCAAGCCCACAGGACCGCCACAGGGAACAATTGGTCGATCACTATGCAAGAAGTGATAATGGCAGGCAGACAAGCAGGCAGGTGGGCGGATGGGCGTGCAGGCAGGCAGGCAAACAGACCTGGGGCAAGTCGAGAGCGACAGTGAGCAGAGTGAGGTTGCCGTGGCCGAAGCACAGCGACGTGGGCTTCTCAGACCAGCGCATCTGCCGCTGCAGCACCTGCTCGTCTATGCCCTCTGCTGCTGCCGCTGCCAGCGCTGCTCCCAGCCCGTGGCTCACCCCCCCCACTGTCCCGTCTGCGCCTTTCTCCCGTGCTGCTGCTGCCTGGGCTCGTGCGGCTGCTGCCCATTTGCTGCTCGTGTGCTCCGATACAAAGTCTGCAGGGAAGAGGGAGGGCGTGAAGAGAAAAGGGAGAGTGGTCTTTGGAGTCTTTGTGACCTCTCGTGTATATGATGCCTGGTGCGGGGAAAATGACGGGTGAAGATAAAGCAGGGAACCATGGGAGAAAATAATATATTGACGGGCTGAGGAGGGAGATAACGCGAAGCCGAGACAGACAGAAAGATCACGAGCACCTGACACAGGCAGAGCAAACAGAGAGATGAAGAGCACCTGAGACGGAGGGGTCTTGGGGAATGTGCAGGGCGCGACGCACAGCAAAGGCGCAGAAGGCAATGAGCGCGAGGTACCCCACGCGCATGAGCGCGCGCTGGCGCGTGGAGAAGCGCCGGCGCTTGGGGGAACCCGCCATGGGGAGGGGGAGCGGGAGGTGGCGCGGAGGGGAGGTGGCGGGAAGGGAGGGGATGCGGGGGAAAGGGGGGAAAGGGAAGTTGGGGAAGAGAGCGAGAGGTAGCGCGAGAGCAGCAGGAGGCAGAGAAAGGGAGGGTGGTGGGAGAGCGGGGATGGGGGAAGGGAAGGAGCGCGGGGTAGGAGCGGGTGGAGGGTTCAGCGGTTTGGGCTGCTGATGGTGCTGATAGTGCTGCTGATGATGCTGCTGGTGCTGCTGGTGGTGCTGGTGAGTTTGTTGGAACGGTGTTGGGAGAGAGGTCTTGATGTGAGAGCACTACCGGGCTTCACGTCCATCCAACGCCCCGACCCTCCTCTTCAACTCCATTGGCTGCCGCCGTTGTCGCCGCGGTCACCGCGATTGCCGTTGTCGCTGCTGGATTTGCTGTCTTCGCTATCTTGCTTTCTGAAAAGACTTCGCTACCTCGCGGGGCGCAAGCGTATAATGCTCTCTTTAACCGATTGCTCTAGTGAGTGCGTACAACTAATTCGGGCATTTTTTTACTACACCCGCTTATCCGAAGGACACGAAATTCGCGAAAGTGCAGCGGCCATTGTCGCAGTCAACGCATTGCATTTTCCTAATCGCCTCCTCGTCGCCTTCCCGTCGCGCCTCCATGCGACGAAGAAACAGCCCTTCGAGCAATGCGGCGAGGAAAACAAGCGTATCAGGCTACGGAAGCACCATCCCTGCATTCCTGGGCATAATTGACAATGGAGGAACGCAATGGTGAAGGAAGTGGAAGCAAGTGCTTCTGAATTGCGACTGTTGCCTCGGGAACTTCCAGCGGAAAGGCAAGGAGTAACAGGTGACGAACAATCAGCGGAACGCAGTTGCAGAAACAGGTGACGTGAAATGACGAATCAAAAGCTAAAGCGATATTTTCTCGTTTGAACATGTTCCGACAAACAATCCTGAGGGTTCCACTTCGTTATTAAGAAATGGTCTACGTTGTATTATGATCACCAACCCGTAACCATGAAAATCTGAAAAGGTGGAATGAGTTCGGTGAATGTTCATATAGCCCAACAGTCACCCATTAGTGCAAAGAAACTGATATACAAAAAACCATAATATTCCTATTTCCAATGTGACCAAGAAGAATAGGTAAGCAAAAAAAGGTGCACTTCAAAAAGGAACCACAAAAAGGGTAAAAAAAAAACGAATAATCACACAGCCACTGGCTCAATAATACAGAATCTACAACTTAGAACGTTTAGGAATCAAGGGGGTGGTCTGCTGGAAGTAGGCAGATGCAGCAGCCACGCCAGAGCCAAGCACCACTGGATATCCCACATCTCGAAGCGTCATCTCCACTCCTGCTAGAGCACCAAGGAGTGCAACCTGCATAGGCAAACAGCATGGGCGAGAGAGAATTAGCATTGACCTAGCCAACCTAGGCAATATGGAAATGGAGCCAGCATGACCCACAACTGCAGAAGCATTATTCGGTCCCCACCTTCCACACAAATAACCCCCATCCTCAATTCCCTCCCCGTTGCTTACCTCATTCATCTGCCCCAGGTGGCCGATGCGGAACGCCTTGCCATTGATCTTGTTCAGCCCGAGCCCGAGCGACAGGTTGTACTTGTTCCACGCGGTGCGCACAATATCATTGCTATTAATGTGCGCCGGCACCAGAACCGTCGTCACAGTATCGCTCTTCCACTCGGGGCTCTTGGTGCACAGCTGCAGGCCCCACGCCGCCACAGCGCGCCGAGTGCCCTCCCCCAGGCGCGCATGCCTCGCAAAGACATTATCGAGGCCTTCTGAGAAGAGCATGTCGAGCGATGCGCGCAGCCCGTAGAGCATCTGGGAGGAGGGAGTGTAGGGCCAGTAGGTGCCCGCCTGGTAGAACTTGAGGTAGTCCCCCCAGTCGAAGAACACGCGGGTCGACTTGCTGCGATGGGTGAAGCAGCAGCGACACGGGAGAAGGGAGAGAGAGAGAGGATCAGAGTGGGGAGGTTAGGAGGGAGGAGTGGGCAGAGTGCTGGAAGGAAGCAGGAAATAGGGGTTGTATATAAAAAAATGTTGGTGGCTTGGTAGCTTAGAAACTTTTCAGGATCTTGGCACAGCTCTTGTTTGGTCTGTCCGTTCTCCCTCTCTCATTCCGCATGCATCCAATCACCCGACCAGCCCAATCGCCACCCTCCCAAAGCCCGCGCATCCGCCTCACCTCACCCATTCCCCTCTGTAACCCCCCACTGCTCCGTACCTGTGCTTGGCGGCCTCGAGGGCACGCGGGCGCGCGCAGACAATGCCGAGACCCGTGGGGAGAGAGAGCGCCTTCTGCGACCCGGTCAACGCCACGTCCACGCGCCACCTGCACACACACGCACGCACGCACGCATACGGACAAAGAGCCAGAGCGATATGAGAAGGGATTGAGCCGCGCGTCGAGAGGCGGTTGCAAGAGAGGAGAGAGGCACTGACTCGTGCGCGTGTGCGTATAGATGAGAGCAGCGACAGAGCAGTCACTAGCGACAGCATACTCGGCTTAACGAATTCCACTTCAGAGAAAAGCGTTCGGAAAGAGTGCGAGTGTGCGCGAGAGAATGCGTTGGAAGGGTGGGGCAGGAGCGAGGAATGGGTACTGACTTGTCCTGGTAGAAGGGAATGGCACCGATGGAGCTGACACCGTCCACCATCAGCAACGCCTTGTGGTTGCACTCATCTGCGCACATGGGCGAGAATTTGGAAAGAGGCGCATGTGAGTAAGAGAGGTTCTGAGAGGTGCGGCTGGTGGAAAAGAAGGAAAGGGCAGGAAGGGAGGACTAGGTAGAGGGGGACGGGAGTGGAGGGGGCGTGTTGAGACAGGAGAGCAGCAGCAACAGCAGCAGCAGCGACGCCACCGGCACCGCTCGCCACCGCAACTCACCGAGCACTTGTCGCACTTTGCCGATGTCATTCGTGACGCCCGTGGCCGTCTCGTTGTGCACGACGCACACCGCCTTGACGGTGCCCGCGCGGTCCGCCTGCAGCTTGCGCCGCAGCACGTCCAGGTCCGCGCCCGCGCCCCACTCGCATTCGACCACGTCGACGTCGAAGCGCAGGCGCTGCATCTGGTCGATCCAGAGCAGCGAGAACTGGCCCAGGCGGAACGAGATGATGCGGTCGCCCGGGGAGAGCGTGTTCGTTAGCGCCGACTCCCACGCGCCCGTGCCTGCAGGGGGGTTAAAGAGAGCGAAGAGCAGGGAAGGGAGGAGGAGGGACGAGGGATGAGGGACGAGGTAGGGTAGGAAGAGAAGGATTGGAATAAGTGAGATTGGCTGGGAGAGGCACGGGGAAGAGTAGTTATTGAAAAGCGGTAAAGATTGACGGTGAACTGACATTGGTTTGGATATCTGCAGAAGGAACGCAAACTTCCAGTAGTTTGTTGTCATCGACACAAGAAGACTCTACTTATGTGTGCCCATATTAATGCGAGTCCAAGTACAGGCCAGAAAAAAAATGAAACATAGTAAAGCTGTACTATAGCAAATTCAACTGGGCAGTGTTCAGGTCAGCCGACAGTGGTACATGAGAAAGACACTTCAGGTGAAATTTCACGCGGCGTCCATGAGAGAGGAGTCGTGTCGCACCTGTGGCGGGGAAGATGAAGCAGGTGCCCTCGGTGGAGCCGAAGAGCTTCTTGCTGTCCTCGATGACGCTCTTGCTCAGCGTGGGGAAGGCTGGCGACCGGTGGTCCTCGTTGCCGCGCAGCATGGCGCGCTGCACCTGCTCGGGGACATTCGTCGGGCCGGGGACGAACAGGTGGTTGCGGCCGGGACCGGGATAGTACTCCATGACTGCTGGCTGCTGCTGCTGCTGCTGGTGGTGGTGGTGGTGGTGGGCGGAGGATGCGGCGGAAGGTCGTGCGTTGCGGCGCCGGCTAGGTTTGAAGAATCTTGTGATGCTTGTGATCGGAGTGGCGGAGCGAAGTCGGGTTGTGAGCTGCAGGGCGCAAGGATATGAGCGGCAGCGAGCAGCTGGGAAGAGCTCAGGCAGCGGAGAGACGAAGGTTAGGAAATCTAAATGCCTGATTGCCAAGGAAAGGCTAGGCCAGTGTTTATGTACTGGGCAGCCATTGCAGCAATTGAGGGGAGATGCGCATCCATGCTGCGTGGCAGTGAGGGTGGATTGTAGCAGCGAAAGTCCCCTCCCAGTTCGACAGTCCCAAGGAGGAATTTGCCAGTGACGATGGCGCACGATTAGTTCGAAACATGTTACGATGATGCGAAACAGTTCGTGACAGCTTGCGAAGCGTTTGGCGTTTGGTGAATGCACACACCTAGAACCAGTTCGCACCACTCACAGCACGAGGCGATGCGCACTTGCGCTTGGTTGACCTGGCGCGGCTCGTTCCCCCCACCATTTCGCGGACCTGGTCGCAAATCCAGCCTTGGGGCAGAGCGGGATGGAGGATCAGCGCCAGAATCAAGTTCGCAACCAGCTGTGATGCCACATCGGCTCGTTTTGATTGGAACGAGTTTCTTACGCCACGTCAACAGGCAGTGGGGAGTGCGTGGGACTGCACTGGAACTGAGGCTCGCCTCTTCAACCTCGACCTTGTCCAGACACACCCGTTTGGCTGAGTCCGTTCCACACCACAAGGCAGAACCGTAGCTTTCCAGGTGCATGACCAGGTTCATGCCACGTGGAATGCACCGAGCCTGTAAACGGCCTCACACACACAGGCCTCAATAGAGATCTACGGTTGGCTCCAAATACATTGACCAGATCCCCCACGTCGTCACCCAACCAATCACAACCTCCTAATCTGGCTCCGCCGAAAGATACACCGAACTTTATTCGGTACAGAACAACTTACGAACGGCCCTGTACGGTTGCAGACTGAATAATGCGTGCGAGGCTCGGGTTGAGCCAGCCAAGCCAACACTTATCCACCACACAACCCCTAGCCACCCAGGCCCTCCCCACACCTGCTCCAGACCTGAGACGCCTTTCCCCAAACCACCCCCCCTCCTCCCCAAGGCACTCCCGTAGGTCCCTACACCCCAGTAGCTCCCACCCCGCCCAACCACGGACTCATCAACCCCACCCCACCTCATCCCACGAAACCTAACCCAACCCACCCAACCCTTCAGGAACAAACTGATCAATGAACCACGTGCCATCACTGCCACAAACACCACCTCTCCTTATAACTTATCTCCGCGACTTGCGCTGAGCCAACTACATGGCTCTCTAGTTCTCCCAGCTTTTATTGGCTGCTCGCAAAACAATCCGTAACGTCCCTAGACGTTTATAGAGGGGGGTCGCTCTCATGGCACTGGCCCACCACGACTTGACTCGCCCATACCTGCATCATCGCGTGGAGCTGGCTAACTCAATCGCATCGCGTCTCATCCCTGCGTTATCCGCCATTCGTCTGTCCCCGTCCGTCCGCAAGCTGGATCTTGTTTGCGAGCCCACTAATTTAGCCGCGACTTCAGCAGCCACATCGCATTCACGATCCGATCTACTGACCAGCTCTGCGCTCCGTGTAAGAGGCTCGATCAAACGCGGCACCTCTGCAACACGGTCTTCAGCGGCAGCGTCGGATCATCCAGGATCGGTGGAGCGATTCGCGGAAGATAGCGAAGGCGGAAGCTCTGGCTGTGGCGGAGCAGCAGTAGTTAACGTGCTGGATCGGGGGACTAGCGCAGAAGAGGCGTCGCCGCTTTTAGAGCGCAGAGGAAACGCGCTGGGGGAGTCGCGGGACGGCTTTTTCTGGAGCGATTCAGAAGACGAGGCAGGGGAAAGGCGTGAAAATGGCGGTGGCGATGGCGACGGCGGGAATGCGATGCGCGACACTCACCCGACCACTTCGTCATCTTCGTCGTCGTCGTCGCGACTGTTGCACGTGTTGTCCGTCATCAACGACAGTGTACGTACGCCCTCTCGCGCTAAATTCGAATGTTGAGTCCGGGCGAAGTCAAAAGTCGCCTCATCACACTCCGGGCTCGGCTACTTGAGTGCTTCCAGCTCCCTCCCTCGCCCTCCGATTGTCTACCCAAATTCTCTTCATATACCCAAACCCTTTCACACAACTGTTGCTGCACGGGTGCCTGTCGTGCCTCCATTACTCGATTGACTTACCTTCGTAAGACTCCCAGATTTGGAAGCTAAGCAGCTTATTTTCCAATCACCAAGAAACAACTTCACAAAAATATTCAAGTGCCTGACCATTCACATACCAATCTTCTCTTCGCAACCCCTTCCCCTCTCCCCCCCTTCTCCCTCCCCCCCAAACCCCCCATGCCTTCTCTCTGACCCCCCTATCCTTTCGCTCCACCTTTTCCTCCCATCCCTATCCCCCCCATTCCCGCGCCGCTCCTCCCAACAGACCAAGTGGGTGGCGACAGTCGCGACAGCCGTGACTGTGATCGCGACGCACAACCGAGCCGCGGCGTGGTTCGTGGTGGGCGCCGTGCTTAACGTCGCCAACGGCAAGGCGCTCAAGCGCATTCTCCGCCACGAGCGCCCCGAGACGGCGCGCGGAAAGAAGGCGGACCCCGGCATGCCGTCGTCGCACGCGCTGAGCCTGTCGTACCTCTCCGTCTATGGCGCTGTTGCAGGTAACGCTCTTTTTCAGGGTGGGAGGGGCGTTGAGACGGCTGCTCGGGGGGATGGAAGGGGAAGGGTGGAGGGGAATGGGGGTTGGGCGAATGGGAGTGGGCTGTGGGGGGAGGGGGGGGGGGATGGGGGGCCAAATGGGAGAGGAACATTTAGGAAAATAAGGAGCGTGAAGGGGGCGCAGGAGGAGAGTATGAGGTTTTGTAGAGTGGAGGAGAATGGAGAAAGGAAGTGTCTAAACTCCACAATTACTATCTCTCGCTCCCCCTGTCCCAAAGTACCACCCACCCAACCCACCCACACGCACCCTTCCCTCCCTCTTCCCAGCGCTATATGTCACCATACGCCATGGCTGTCCTTCAAAACCTCCCTCTTCCCCCGTCTGCCCACCTCCCCTCCTCCCCTCCCTCCATACATGGCTTTACAGCTCTGCAGCGCTTCGGCATGACACCTTACACCATAACCGGCGCCTCCCTACTGGTTTCTCTTGCCGCCTTCTTGGTAAGCCGTAGCTTAGAAGCAGTGCAGTCACAGGATAGAATAGCCATGAAGTGGGTGAGTAACCAGGAATAGCCTGGAACAGCCAGGAATAGCCTGGAAGTGGGGGGTCGTCCAATGACTGTCACATAAATGCTGGTCGCTGGATAATGGGGAGACAAGGGTGAGCTGGAACAACACTGAACAACACTGGAACAGACTGCATGTTGCAGTGATGTAAGAGATGCAAGGAGGGCAATTAGCAAGGACTGCGCCATGGCAGTCTGGCAGAGAAGACTCTGAGTCAAGGAGGTTGCTCCCTCCTCGTCATCCTGTCCCCCCTTCTGGGCAAACCCTCTCGCCATTCCCCAGATGTTCCACGTCTTGCTGCTGCTAGCTCGCCTGTAGGCCTTGCATGTGCTTCCACTGAGTTTTGACACGTCCAAGTCACCATGTCCCTGCATCAATCCCACCCCAACTTCCACGTCCCCTTGGTCTCTCTCACCTCACCCTGCTTCACCACCCTCACCTCACCCCGCCCCCCTCATAAACCCCAATCAGGCCATACTGCGAGTGGTTCTAGGCCTGCACACGCCCGCACAGATTGCTGTGGGCTGGGTAATGGGCACAGCTATGGCCCTCCTCTGGTCGCACGCTGCCTCCTCTCTCCCACAGCTGCCGTTTCTGCAGCAGCACGCGGCATGGGTGGATGCTGGTGTAACAGTCCCACCATCTCCCTGCACCAATCCCACCAACCTCCATCCCACCAACCTCCATCCCACCCACATCCAGCCCATCCCTACTTCCACGTCCCCTTGGTCTGTCTCACCCTGCTTCCCCATCCTCTCACCCTGCTACCCCACCCTCCCCTCACCCCGCCCCCCTTGTAAACCCCACGCAGGCCATACTGCGGGTGGTTCTAGGCCTGCACACGCCCGCTCAGATTGCCATGGGCTGGGCAATGGGCACAGCTATGGCCCTCCTCTGGTCGCACACTGCTTCCTCTCTCCCACAGCTGCCGTTTCTGCAGCAGCACGCGGCGTGGGTGGATGCTGGTGTTACAGTCCCACCAATCTCCCTGCACCAATCCCACCAACTTCCAGCCCACCCCTACTTCCACGTCCCCTTGGTCTGTCTCACCCTGCTACCCCACCCTCCCCTCACCCCGCCCCCCTTGCAAACCCCACTCAGGCCATACTGCGAGTGGTTCTAGGCCTGCATACGCCCGCACAGATAGCTGTGGGCTGGGTAATGGGCACAGCTGTGGCCCTCCTCTGGTCGCACGCTGCTTCCTCTCTCCCACAGCTGCCGTTTCTGCAGCAACATGCGGCATGGGTGGATGCGGGTGTGGTAGTGGCGGGAATGGTGATGTTTTCGCTCTTTGTGCTGGTGGAAGTGCGGAAATGGCTTGCCAAGGCTGGAGGAGGGGTGATGCGACAGAGGGGGGAGAAGGGATGAGGTGAATTACCGTATCTGTGTAAAGGGAGGTGGGAGGTGGACTGGGAGTTGGACTAGTGATCTGATTTGAGATTCAGCAGGGATCTTACTGGTAGGTTGCTTGAGCAGACCTTTCAAGTCCCATGCGTTGTTCACATACTAGATTGCAACTGCATCTGTTGCGAGGACTAGGCAATGTTTGGTCAGCCCTATTGTTGAGACATGTCGCAATCATAATTGACATGCAATGTAACTGTACCTAAATTTTGCACTAAGGAGATTTGATCTTGCTGTTCGCACAATTTATTCCACTTTTACATCTGAACCTCAGCCAGTGTCATGGTTTTACAGCCAGCATGACAAAAAGACGTGCACCATAGTGCCGTGAGACGGAAGAAATGCGTCGAAAGAATTAGGTACAACAAAGGCAAGCAGCAAACAAAGAGCCGCCTGCGCATCTCAGTGCATGTGTGTTGCCCATGCCACGGCTCCCAGAGCTCCTCCTCCAATGATCGCCAATGGTGCTGGGATCTGCACACACACGCACACCAACCAACACCACGCATTGCTTCGGCACACAGAGGGCACAAACTCTCGTCTTGAGTATCATGCACCCACCTATGCAGAGCCCACTTGTTTAACTGGAGATTAGTACCGGTACTACCGTAACAAGTACACGATAAATACACGATAAATCCACGTTTTCTAAAGGCAGCACATGAATCATCCACACCTGTATGTGCGCCTTTTGAGGAGTCTCAAATGCACATGACACGCACGCACACAAAAACTCGCACACTCGTATGCGCGCGCACGCACGCACGCACGCACGCACACGCGCGCGCGCACACACACACGCACACACACTCACACTCACGCACGCACGCACAAACACACACACACACACAGATGCACACACACGCGCGCGCGCGCGTACTATGCGCGCACGCACGCGCGCACGCACACACACACTCTCGCATACACACATACACACACACACACACACACACACACGCACGCACACACGCACACACACACACACACACACACATACACACACACACACACACACACACACACCACACACCCACCCACACACCCACACACCCACGCACCTTGAGGAAGTTTGTGGCAGCATAGCCGATCATGGCAATGCAGAGAGAGGCCATTTTTGAGGCGCCTCAATGCAGAGCGAGGCCATGGAGAATGGACTGCGGCTCTTGAGGCGCCTCCAAAGACATGCAAACAAGCACACGCAGCTCCAAAGGTGTTTGCTTGCATACCTTTGGAGGAGCATGCTCACCTTGAGGAAGTTTGTGGCAGCATAGCCGATCATGGCAATACAGAGCGAGGCCATGGGGAAGGGACTGCGACTGTATGTCTGCAGACCCAGTGTGAACACGGACGCCCAGATGAGACCGATCTGCACAGCAGCAGGTGAGAGCAAGAGAGAAGTGGACGTGAAGGGGAGAGTATGTGTGCGTGTGTGTGGGTGCGCACGCGCGTGCGCGTCTGCGTGCCTGTGAGACAATGAGCATGGAAGCGGGCTGACGAAGCAGATGAGAACAAGTCAGCAAGGAGAGGGGCAGAGGCGGGCTTACAGCTGTGGAGTTGAATCCTGGTGTAGCGCGCTTGTAGCTGTATCCATGGGGATGGGATGGGGACACAGACAGGGGGTACGGCAGCCAACAGGAGAGCAGATGTGAATACATGCAAGAGGGGAAGCAGCGAGCAGAAGAAGAGATGGGGAGGCTGAGAGCGAGGGAGACCAAGCGAGAGCGAAAGCATGACAAACAAGCACTAAAGTAAGCACTTAAGGCAAGCACTAAATCGTGAAACACGCTCCTCCCTGCTGCTTCACACCCTTCCCACGCCCACCACAGAACCTATACCCTGTGACACCCCAAAACAACTTTGTCCCCTCCACTCCGTGCCAGCTAACCCCCAACTGTCAGCTCACTGACATGTGCCACTGGCGGAAGCGGCCCCAGAAGGGCAGGATGCCGGGCGAGAAGAAACCCAACCAGCTTTTGAGTCACCTCAGAAACTCCTACTGTATCATCTTCCCACCCACCACAGAGCCCTGCACCCTAAAACCAACCGTGTTAGTCCACAACCCCGCTCCCCTCCCTCTCTCTTCCTCCCTACCACCTTCCCCAAACCCTCAACAGCTCACTCACATGTGCCACTGGCGGAAGCGGCCCCAGAAGGGCAGGATGCCGTAGATGAGCAAGATGCCGGGCGAGAAGAGACCCAACCAGCACGCCGCTATGCCCGCAAACTTGCCGATCTGCAGATTGATGGGAAAGGGGGAGGCAGGGTGGGTGGGTGGGTGGGTGGGTGGGTGGGTGGGTGGGTGGGTGGGTGGGTGGGTGGGAGGGGTGTTGGTGAGAACCAGGAAAAGAGGGAGAACCAGGAAAAGAGGGAGAACCAGGAAAAGAGGGAGAACCAGGAAAAGAGGGAGAACCAGGAAAAGAGGGAGAACCAGGAAAAGAGGGAGAACCAGGAAAAGAGGGAGAACCAGGAAAAGAGGGAGAACCAGGAAAAGAGGGAGAACCAGGAAAAGAGGGAGAACCAGGAAAAGAGGGAGAACCAGGAAAAGAGGGAGAACCAGGAAAAGAGGGAGAACCAGGAAAAGAGGGAGAACCAGGAAAAGAGGGAGAACCAGGAAAAGAGGGAGAACCAGGAAAAGAGGGAGAACCAGGAAAAGAGGGAGAACCAGGAAAAGAGGGAGAACCAGGAAAAGAGGGAGAACCAGGAAAAGAGGGAGAACCAGGAAAAGAGGGAGAACCAGGAAAAGAGGGAGAACCAGGAAAAGAGGGAGAACCAGGAAAAGAGGGAGAACCAGGAAAAGAGGGAGAACCAGGAAAAGAGGGAGAACCAGGAAAAGAGGGAGAACCAGGAAAAGAGGGAGAACCAGGAAAAGAGGGAGAACCAGGAAAAGAGGGAGAACCAGGAAAAGAGGGAGAACCAGGAAAAGAGGGAGAACCAGGAAAAGAGGGAGAACCAGGAAAAGAGGGAGAACCAGGAAAAGAGGGAGAACCAGGAAAAGAGGGAGAACCAGGAAAAGAGGGAGAACCAGGAAAAGAGGGAGAACCAGGAAAAGAGGGAGAACCAGGAAAAGAGGGAGAACCAGGAAAAGAGGGAGAACCAGGAAAAGAGGGAGAACCAGGAAAAGAGGGAGAACCAGGAAAAGAGGGAGAACCAGGAAAAGAGGGAGAATAGGCAGGCAGGCAAGCGGAGGCACACTGACCATGACACCCAGGTAGGCACGTGAAGAAGTTTTCTGAGACGTGGACCATTTGGTCTGGTCACTACTCAATAATGTCATGTACTCATATATTCGTCTACTCATATATTCGTCTACTCATAAAGTCGTCTATTCACAAAGTGGGTAGTAGACCAGTCACAAACAGAACTATGCAGTGACAAAACATTGTGTACTCACAATGGCGCCCAGGTACACAGAATTTTTTAAAGAGCGCGCCAGGCATGGCCTGTGCGAGGGCATCGAGCCGTGTAGAGTGATCGAGCAGCACACTCGCACTCACTTGTTCATGAGACTCACAATGGCACCCAGGTACGCGGAGAAGTTGAAGAGCGGCCCGGGCATGGCCTGCGCGAGGGCAAGGCCTGCCATGAACTGCTGCTGCGTCACCCACGTGTTGGGGGACTCCGTGCACTGCCAGGCAGGCGCACATGGGTGGGGGGGGGAGAGGGAGGAGAGGATGGGGAGATGTGGAGGGGCCTTTGAGTCGACTCGAAAGTCGCAGTGTGAGGTGGTGGGAGAGGTGAGGAGATGGCAATTGATTGTTTTTATTGCGAGGCCATTTAGGCCACAACGACGTTCCCCAGCAACGGCAGTACCAAGTGCAAACAGAAGCAACATGCTGAATGAACATCATCCACTCAAAGCCAGCATGGCGCACAGCTCCTTGCGTCTGCCTCCTCCCCACATGTATCCCCCCTTTCTCTTGCGTACACACTCCAGCATGCGTGTGTGCATGCATAGGTGCGGGATGAGTGAGCGCGATCGTTCGTTCATGCATGAGCGCATGCATGTCCATGCATGTGCGTGAGCAGACACATGCATGCACATGCGCATGTGCATGCATGCAGAGCACGTACAGGCCCGCCATTGCTGGGGCAGTCATAGTGCACAACCACGTTCTCCAGCAGAGGCAGCACCACCTGCCCTCCGCCATAAGTCACCGACCCCGTCAGGTAGAAGCCCTGCCAGGGGGAGAACACCAGGGGGCAGTCACAGGAGCGCGGCAGATTGCACACACACAACACGAATGAATCAGGGCTGGCAGCGGCAGCACCACCTGCCCTCCGCCATACGTCACCGAACGACCCCGTCAGGTAGAAGCCCTGTTATGAAAGTGGGGAGGGGGTTCCGGGAAGACCAGAGGGGCAGTCACAAAAACAAGATTGCACACAGATACAACGTGAATGAATAACTGCTCCCTTCCTGCGCAGCGCCGTCACATAGACGCTCTGCCCGTCACATAGACGCTCTGCCCGTCACATAGACGCTCTGCCCGTCACATAGACGCTCTGCCCGTCACATAGACGCTCTGCCCGTCACATAGACGAATGGGGAGAGACAAATTGCATCGCATACGACACGAATGAATAAATGCTCCTCCTGAGGCTCATCGGATTGACAGCTTCTTTCAGTCTCGGCACGCACCCTCCTCCCCTTCTGTCCTCTCCAGTTTCCCTCCCACCTTCCCTCATCAAACCCCCCACTCCCATCAATCCTGCCCTTTAATCCTTCCCCCTTACCCCTTCCCTCTTCCCCACCCCGCCCCTTCCTGCCGAACCCGCCCCCTCTTCTGCCCCCCACCTCAAACCAGTGCATCCATAAGGCACGGCGTTCTTCACCACGTGTTCTTCACCACGTGTTCTTCACCACGTGTTCTTCACCACGTGTTCTTCACCACGTGTTCTTCACCACGTGTTCTTCACCACGTGTTCTTCACCACGTGTTCTTCACCACAACGGACGTCACCAGAAGCACGCAGCCCTCACGGATGGTGCCTTACACGTGCCTCCAAAAACACTGACTCTCTCTCTTCCAGTCCCCTCCCCCCCTCCCCTCTCATCTTCCTTTCTCCCCCCTTCTCTCGCCCTCACCTCGAACCAGTGCAACCCCCGGGCCTTTTCTTCCCTTCCCCAACCCCCCCACCCCCCCTCGCACCTCGAACCAGTGCATCCACTGGGCGTTCTCGTACGGCACAGCGTTCTTCACCACAGGTGACTTTTGAGTCGACTAAAAAATTCACCACAATGGACGTCACCAGAAGCGAGCCCAAAACAGATGGTTGCATTCACGTACCTCCAAAACACTGACTCTCTCTGTGTCGGGCCCCTCCCTTCCCTTCCCCCTCTCTCCCTTCCCCCTCCCTCTCCCTCCCCCCTCGCACCTCGAACCAGTGCATCCACTGGGCGTTCTTGTACGGCACGGCGTTCTTCACCACAATGGACGTCACCAGCAGCGCAGCCCAGACCACAAGGATGGTGCTGCTGTACATGTGCCTCCAAAAAACACTGCCTCTCTCTGATCCCCCTCCCCCCCTCCCCTCTCATCTTCCTTCCTCTGTTCCCCCCCTCCCCTCTCATCTTCCTTCCTCTGTTCCCCCCCTCCCCTCTCATCTTCCTTCCTCTGTTCCCCCCCTCCCCTCTCATCTTCCTTCCTCTGTTCCCCCCCTCCCCTCTCATCTTCCTTCCTCTGTTCCCCCCCTCCCCTCTCATCTTCCTTCCTCTGTTCCCCCCCTCCCTCGTATAGTTAGTCGATTTTTGAGTCGACTCAAAACCTCTCCCCCCACCCCCCCTCGCACCTCGAACCAGTGCATCCACTGGGCGTTCTCATACGGCACGGCGTTCTTCACCACAATGGACGTCACCAGAAGCGCGGCCCAGAACACAATGAGCAGCGCGCCCCCCCACCAGCTCAGCCCCAGCTTCTCGATGTCGCTGCGCGCCGGGGGGATGGGCTTGTTGTGCCCGATGATCACTGTGATGAGCCCGCCTGTGGGGGGGGGGAGAAGGGAGAGGGGGAGAGGAGGAGGGGAGCGGAGGCGACGGAGGCAGAATATGTGTGTCTGATTCGATTGCAATGTTGCTGCGGGCCGGGGGGATGGGCTTGTTGTGCCCGATAATGGCTGTGATGAGCCTGCCTGGGGGGAAAGAAAGGGGGAGGGAGGAAAGGAGGGAAGGAAGGAAGGGACGGGGAGGGACGGGGACCGCCACTGCTGGTCATCTCACAGGTGGCTCAAAGCTCATCTCTGCACTGCAGCGCACCCCACAGCACCGCAAGGCACATCGCACCGCCTCCCACCTCAACTCACCAAACACACCACCGCAAGCCAAGCCAGCAACTCACCGCACCACAATGTGAGGCAGGAAGGCAACAGGCGACACACAGCACGCACCGACGAGGATGATGGTGGGGAAGAGCCACTGCGTCTGGTAGTAGAAGGTGATGACAGCCGCCAGCCACCAACTAGCCGCACCACACAGCGCACCACAGCGCACCACAGCGCACCACAGCGCACCCCACAGCGCAAGGCAGGAAGACAACAGGACGCAAAGGCACGCACCGACGAGGATGATGGTGGGGAAGAGCCACTGCGTCTGGTAGTAGAAGGTGATGACAGCAGCTGCCACACAGAGCACCTTGGAGACACGGTCCTTGCACACCTTCTTCCCCAGCATCACCGCTGCCTCCGCCACCAATGCCACTGCCACTGCTGCCAGCCCTGCTGATATGGCTGTCAGCCACACGCCCGGGTTTATCAGGAACTGGTGGGATGGGATGTATGGAGATGGATGGAGGTGGATGGGGAGTGAATGAGAATAAAAGGAGATGGAGGGAGGGAGGGAAGAGGAGAAGGGAGGAAGCAGGTGCGAACGATGCAAGAATCAGGAGCGGCGGCGGCGGCGGCAGCGGCAGCGGCGGCACAGCAAAAGCATCAACTATGGGTAGCGCGCGCGCGCGCGCGCACACACACACACACCATGTAGGTAGTAGCGAGCGCACACAAACTCACACACCTTAGCAGCGCCGAAGCCCGCAAGGCTCATGATGATGAGACCGGGGTACTGGAAGAGCATGCCGGAGAGCAGCTTTGAGTCGACTGATGGTGTAGCGTTAACAACAGGTAGCGCGCACCCACCCACCCACCTTAGCGGCACCGAAGCCCGCAAGGCTCATGATGATGAGACCGGGGTACTGGAAGAGCATGCCGGAGAGCAGCTTTGAGTCGACTGATGGTGTAGCGTTAACAACAGGTAGCGCGCACCCACCCACCCACCTTAGCGGCACCGAAGCCCGCAAGGCTCATGATGATGAGGCCAGGGTACTGGAAGAGCATGCCGGAGAGCAGCCCGCCCGAGATGCCCTTCTGGAGAATGCCGATGGCGAATGACATCTGCGTGGATGATGGGCCCGGCACGGTTTGGCAGAGCGCCAGCAGCTCCGCAAACACATCGTCTGACATCCACCTGTAGGGAGAGGGGGGAAGGGCGAGGGGCGGGGGGCGGGGGGCGGGGTGCGGGGGGCGGTGGACGGGGGGCGGGGTCGGGTCGGGGGACGGGTGGCAAACGACATCTGCGTGGATGATCGGCCTGGGACCATCTGACAGAGCGCCAGCAGCTCCGCAAACTCATCGTCTGACATCCACCTGCAGGGGTGAGGGGTGATGTGAGGAGCAAGGGGCGGGGGGGGCGGAAGGCCGTGGGTGGGAGGGGTTTTAAGTCGACTCAGACATGGCAGAGCGCCAGCAGCTCGCAAACTCGTCGTCTGACATCCACCTGTGGGGGTGAGGGGCGCGAGGTGAGGGACGAGGGGGGAGACGGGAGGGGGGAGTTTTTGAGTCGAGTTGATCTGCGCAGGTCGACCGAGTCCTCGTGGAACTGCGCAATGGGCTCCTTTCAAACGCCTCATGCCTCCAGCTCCGTGCAACTCAACCCCGCCCACCCCCCAACCCCAACCCCCCCACCCCCCCTTCCCCCCCTCCCCCTCCTCCCCCTCCCCGTCCCCCCGCCCCCTCGTTTGCAACTCACCCGCGCAGCTCGACAAAGTCCTTGTGGAACTGCGCGATGTGCGCGGACGGCCCCCCGAACGCCGTCCACCCCAGCACCGCGAACGCCATCACAATCGCGCGGTAGCTTCCGCGGATGGCCTGGGGGACGCGGGGGGGACCCAAGGGGGGGGGGAGGGAGGGGGGGGAAAGGGCGGCGAGAGGGGGAGGGCGGAGGAAGCCGAGGGGCAAGGTGGAAGTTAAGCGGAGGAGGGTGCGGGAGGGGGTGGTGGTGAGACGGGTCGCACAGGTCGCACGGGTCGCACAGTTCACCTTAGGAGGCTCTTCCACCACGACGACTGGCGGCACCACAGCGAGAGTTCCGTCGCTTGCGCCGCCATCGCCACCATCCGCAGCAGCAGCACCGTCAGCAGCGCCTGCAGAGCCGGCAGCATCAGGAGCATCGCCAGCAGCCTTGGAGTCTTTTCCCGCCTTCCCCTCCGCGTCCCCGTCCCCCTCCTCGTCGCTGCTCTCCCCGCCGCAATCCTGAAGCACGGGAACGTCCGCCGTCCCCGCCTCCTTCCCCTTCTCCCCATTCCCCGCGTCCCCGTCTGTTCCGCCCGCGCCGTTCATTCCGCCCTCGAGAACCGCATTCCCCGAAGCTGCCTCGGTCCGAGGCTCCAGTTGAACCTCAGGCTCGGGCCGGCTGTGGTCCGCCGTCCCGTCGACCATGGCTGGAGCGAAGCTGCACGCGAGGGTGCGGGATGAGCGAGACCAGGAAAACAGGAAAAGAAAAATGACGGGACGTGAGTACAAGAACGGGAGTGAGTCTAAGTGTCCATGGGGGACAAAACGGGGTTTTGTTGATCAAGAAGAAGACATGCTGCGGATGAGGTAGGCACGGGATTTCTTGAAGTACAGATGGCCATGGCGGATGCTAGAAAGGCTCAACCCCAGGCTTTGTTTCTTCACAAGCTAATCTCGTCCGCTGAGAATGAACAACTTCGGCGGCAGGTGCTATTTTGAGAGCTATGCCACGCGTACTGGAATAAGTACGAAATCTCTGACAAAAGCTAACCGCAGATGTCAGTGAAAGGGTTGGAACGGGCGAGACACTCACGAGAATCAGCAACAGGTGTCGAAAATGTGTTGTCTATTCTCAAGAAAGAAATCACAGCTGTGGGTAGGAACAGGTGTGGCGGTTGTGTATGAAGCTTAGTCGCCGCAATAGACGGAATGTGGCGCAAGGAAATATATCGGGGTCTAGGGTTTGGTGACTTCTGTGCTGCGTCGTGGCGCGTTCAGCAATAGCCCCTGAACTTGTGTAGCTTATCGGACTCCGTAAATGCTGACACTACCAAGACCTAAAGTCGCAGCTTTTACTGCTACGGGCTCCCCCCCTATGTGTGTCACTTGCTCCCTCCCCTCGTCTCGCCCTGCAGACTGCAATGATTCAAAATCTCGCATCACCCGAGTGACCATAGCTCAACCCCACCCAGAATCAAGTCACAATGACGGTCTGATTTGCGGTTCATTGCAGGAGAGGTGCATGGGGGTCAACAACACACGCCACGCTGGCATCAATCGTCGAGTACAGTAAAGCGTGGTCTATATATGCTATAGAATGGTTGAGTAGGTTAATTAGCGATAAACTTCTTTGGGGAGTCACAGCTGCTGGCTACTTGCACTCCGCGGTTCGGTTGGACATTGAATCGACGGATAGCATTCGCTGAAGCCACGAGTCTGACGCGGCGCGACATTCGTGAACCAGACCTGGACCTTGATACAAGGTACACCGCACTAGGACGAATATTCTATTTCTGCCGCTCCAGAAACACCTGCGGAATATTGCACGTCAGCCGCGAGTTCAAACACAACAAGGTCTGACCCGCAGCCATAAGTTTCTTGTTGAATAACGAACACAACCAGGTCTGTTCGTCAGCTCTCGCCAGTTTCGCGGCTGGTCATCCTGTGACCACTGGTAACAAGGCTGTAACAATAATGTCAAGGGTCATCTTAAATGGCAGGAGTCTGTAATGAATGAACTTGTCAGAGTGCGCAGATATCGAATAACGAGAATGAGAATTACAGAATGATTGAACAATGAAGTAGCGAGGCCTAAATAGGGGAAAACCTAGCTAGGCGGGGGGTTCGGGATGGGATGGCTCGGTGATGGCTACGATTGGAGCGGAGGCCGACTCGGGGGTGGTTCGGTGCGACGCAATAGGTATCGCAGGTTCGTCGCGACACCCTCGGGATGTCCTCGCTAACAACTTACTACAGTAAGGAATTCTAATTCCTTACAGAGTCATTCTCCACATGAAATCATTGTTTATGTTTTAGCAATCCCATCCCTCTCATGTTCATTTGTGGGAAAAAATGTTCCACATAGATGTTAAATCACGGTTAAAATTGCTCTTTTGGGGTTAGAGGGAACCACAATTTGTCACCTGTCCGTTTGAATTAACGTGCAATTGTATTTCCCAATCCACAACATCCATAACATGCGTAATGCGACCTTCTAGGTGGTGTACAGTCGCATATATCAGAACACGCTATATAGAGTTTTCCCATCCAAAACACCAACTGGCCAACCTGGATGCAGTGGCGAGAGGGAGGAGCGGGAGTTGTGGTCAACAAAAAACCGCGGAAATCACTACAGCTGCAAGCATTGATTCGGTTTCGTTACAGTACTGTATCTATCGTTTCGTTTCTGCCGTAACAACTTCGGTCAATTCGAACGGCGATCCAATCTTCGCAGTGCGTGTTTGCAAATGTGATCTTTTCGGGCAGAACCATGCGGCTGCCCGTGTTTAGGGTTGGGGCTCCCCGTGTTTAGGGTTGGGGCTCCCCGTGTTTAGGGTTGGGGCTCCCCTAATCGCATGCCATCCAGATGGGGTTTATTTTTTTCTGACCGCGAGCAGATAACGACCCCTCAGCTTCTTCCACTGGGGATCGCATTTGCGAACCGCGCTGGCTAAATTGGATTGCAGCTGAAGTTGTCCCTAACAACTTCGTGCAGCCTGGCTTCTGCGCGTCCGTGGCTGGAGTGCCCCTCCAACCGAACCACCCACCCACCCACCACCCTTCTTGCAGGGTCGGTCGTTCGCGGAAGTCCCAGCTGAACCAGTGATAATGCCGGACCACAAGACTGGCTAACGAACTCTCGCATATCCTCTGGACGTCGCAGTTGTCGTCGCACGGTGAGATGGAATACATAGTTACCGCCTGTCCTTGCTCGCAGCCATTCGTTAACAAATGGGGTGCTTCCCGCCGTCAACCTCATCTACGGTTCATTGCAGAGAGCACGTGGAGCATTTTCAGTCCTCCTAGCATAGCATGTGCTCCTCGTCCGTACTGTATCTGGTGAAGGTGTGGTGGTGAGCAGCAGATTCGTTTGTGCTGTACAGTACTCCCCTTTAGCTCTGCTCTCGAGTGTTGTTGAACGAAGTTGATGCTTCAGCAAGGTTTCTTCACGCAGAGCTGCTTCCGCTCTGCTTCACGAAGCCAAGAGATGAGAAGAGTCCGAGTCGTCTCAGCGCCAACCGTGAATGTTCTCACCCGGTTTTCTTTTTTCGTACGGCGGTCCGTCACGACAGAAGACCCTTGTTCGCTGTCACTTTCTTAACAGACTCCTTCCAAGAACTCCAGCTTAACCTAATTTGGACAGCAGCCTGTGGCAGTAGAAGGGAACTTGAGCCTGAAGATCTAGCATCCATATCTTAGATTCCAGTACCTCTGCCAATGCGTCTTGTTCACATCGTCGCGTGCAGCGTCCTTCGCCGAACGTGCGCCTCTGAACGAGCGTCTCTTATTGTGCCTCGCTAAACGAGTCCCTTTTGAGAAATTTCAAACTTGGAGCCTGACAGTTTCTTGACAGTTCTTGACGGTTCTGTCGCTGCTGCGTAGCCTCGCAAGAGACGTGCGTACATGCACGAGACAGATGAGGGGATATCAGGACACGGACGGACAGGGCGGTCGACGATGGGGGATAAACATCAACGCCGCATCGGACGGAACAGGAATGGAAAGCAGCGCCACGGGATACGACAGGAGTTTCGGCGGTGGTTTTGGAGCCGCTGTTAGCGGTGGCGGCGGCGGCGGTGGTGGCGGTGGTGGGTTAAGGTCGCACCGCTCCGTTTCGTTGGATCCTAGACAAGCCATTCCAGAGGACTGGATAGATAGGTACGACGATTACGGCGACAGGAACGGCGACACGAATGACGACTGGGGAGGCTACGGCGGAGCGGGAGGGGGAAGGGGAGGAGGGGGAGGGGGCGATGGCGGAGCAGCGGGAGGGGGATCCGGCGCGCGGGGCGGGGGAGGTGGCGGGAAGCGGGAAAGCTGGACCGCCTGTCCGTACGCTCCCGGGGATGTGATTCTAGTGAAGTGTTCGAAATCGAGGTGGTGTTACGGCGAGGTGCTCAAGGTGACGGAGGACGGCGTGCGACTGTGGGTGGACGCGGTTCGCAGTCGCATCGACGTGCCGCTCTCGCTCGTCGCGTCGCACCTCTCCTCCGACCCCTCCGTGCTTTCCGGAGACGCCGCCGGAGACGCCAGGGACGCGCGCGACGGGCGCGACGGGCGCGACGCGAGAGACGCCGGCGGGTACTCGTCCTCCGCCGCCGCGCTGTCGTCTGGCGCTGCGGGGTCGGCGGCCTCGGGATTGTCGGGCGGTGCGGCGGGCAGGGACGGAGCGGGCGCGGGCAGGGATGGGAGTCCGGTGGGGGATGATGCGCTGTCGGGCACGGGCGGGAGACATCGTGGGGGTGGTGCTGCCAAGAGGGGCTCTGCGCTGCATGGGAGTAGGTGCGTGTTGTGCGGGGAAAACACTTTTCGTTGTGCAGTGCCGCCGCGTTTCCCACGCTCTTCTCTCGCCCGGTTCGCTTGCTCGTTCTCTCCTTCCCTGCCTCCCTGCCTCTTTCTGCCACCTCCCCTTCGTTTCCTCAACCTCGTTTTCCTCTCACTAAAACCGTTCGCCTTCCGACCGCCCTATTGTTCCAAACCCCTCACACTCCTCAGGAGCGTGCAAAGCGGACGCGCGGGCGGCGCAGGCGGCGGCGGCGGCGGCGGCGGGGGAGGAGGAGGAGCGGGCGGCGCGGCGATGGGGACGTGTTCGACGTGCACGCTGGCGATTCGCGAGCTGCCGGTGGTGGGGTGGGAGTGCGGGCACAAGTCGCACTTCGCGTGCGTGGGGCGGCGCCTCAGCAAGGGCCTCACGGACTGCGCCTTCTGCCTCACTGTCAAGGTGCGCGCGGGCGAGGGAGAGAGAAAGAGAGAGAGAGAGAGAGAGAGAGCGAGAGGAGCGTGGGGCGAGGGGCCAGGGAGATGCAAGGAACTGGGAACGCGCCTCAGCAAGGGCCTCACGGACTGCGCCTTCTGCCTCACCGTCAAGGTGCGCTCGCGCGCGAGGGAGAGAAAGGGAGTGAGAGAGAGAGAGGGGCGTGGGGCGAGGGAAATGGGAGGGAGGGAAGGGGGAAGAGATGCGATGTGGTTAGGAGGGGGGATCTGAGTCGGCTTAAAGCACGCCTTCCGCCTCATGGTCGAGGCGAGATTGATTGCTCTGAAAGGACACAAGCACAAACGAACTAGAAGTGAAGCTCGTGATTGGTGGCGGAGATGACACATTTGGATTCAAAATCTGTCTCAGTATTTTCTTTTAACAACTGATGCGTGAACGCTTATGTGTTGCCATATTATGTCATCCCAACTCCACATTGCTCCAATCCACCTGTATGGCTCAACTCGTCTTGCCTTCACAAGGCTAGCTAGTAGATGATGAAGAGTCTTACCTTGTGTAACATTCCCTCCTCCTCCTCTCTTGCCCTGCCGTAACCCCCTGCTGCCTAGTCTTACCTCTGCTCCTCCCATATAGCTCTGCATGTCTCCCTTCATCTCGCTGTCTGCACGTCCTTTCCTTGACAGCCCCATCGCTCATTCACTCCCCGTCCTTCTTCCCCCTGGGCCACCATTTCGGGTGTCACCCCCCCGTGCTTCTGGGTGTGCATGTGATTCTGAGCGTGCATGTGCTTTTGAATCTGCATGTGTTTCTAAGTGTGCATGGGCATGCGCATGTGTTGTGCATGTGTATGTCATTTGCATCTGCATCTGCATCTGCATCTGCATCTGCATGTGCATGTTTCGTGTGCATGCGCATGCTGTATTGCAGCCGCATGCAAGGGGGGCAGTGGACGCGTTACTGGAGGAGGTGTGGTTCTGGTGTGTGTGCGGCCACCACTGCACCATTGATGCTCTCGAAGAGGACCCCACCACCAAGAGCTTCTGCTGCCCGCTCTGCCAGGTGCCTCCCCTCCCAACGCCACCCCCCCCCCCCCCCCCCATCTCCACCAAACCCCACCAAACCCTCCCCCCAACCCCTTTCCCCCCCTTCCCCCCCCACCCCCTCCCCCCCTCCGCCCCTTTCCCCCCCAATTTTCCGTCCTCCTTTCTCCGGGACCCCCATTCTACCCCACTGCTGCTACCTCATCCCGCCCTACCCTCGTGACTCCCTCCCCCACATCCCCCTTCTACTGTCCACCTTCCCACTCCCCATCCCCACCTTTTTCCTACCCTCTGCCGCCTCCTCATTCGCTGCCTCGCACCCAGTCAGATTCTCACGCATGCCACGTCAGCCACCCATCTCTTTTCTATCCCTCGCTGCGTCGTTGCCCAGTTTGCCGCTCTCTTTTACCCGCATCTCAAGGCATCTCTTTCACCTGCTAGTTCCGTAATTTCTCGTTTTCCGTACTCTTCCCTGCCCCTTTTCTGGAATTTGTTCGTCCTCCCCCCTGTTCATATCCTTTCCTTCCTGCTTCCACTCACGCTCTTCTGTTCTCTCATCTGCCTGCGTGTGCGTGGCTGCTTATCGTGCTCTACTGGTGTTCTTGTCCGCTGGTGTGTGTGCGCGCGCGTGCATGTGTGTGCGTATGTGTCCATGTGTGTGCATGTGTGTGCGTATGTGTCCATGTGTGTGCATGTGTGTGCGTATGTGTCCATGTGTGTGCATGTGTGTGCGTATGTGTCCATGTGTGTGCATGTGTGTGCGTATGTGTCCATGTGTGTGCATGTGTGTGCGTATGTGTCCATGTGTGTGCATGTGTGTGCGTATGTGTCCATGTGTGTGCATGTGTGTGCGTATGTGTCCATGTGTGTGCATGTGTGTGCGTATGTGTCCATGTGTGTGCATGTGTGTGTGCATGTGTGCATGTGTGTGCATGTGTATGTGCGTACAATACGGGTGTGCATGTGTGCGTGCAGTATGACCCATGGAGCGTCACCAAGAGCAACGGCCTCATATCCCACCGCAGCCTCGGCGTGGGCATGGATACCTCCTCCTCCCACACCCACCACTCCCCCGCACAGCACCACCACCAGCAGCACCAGCAGCAGCACCAGCAGCACCACCATCCTCCCCAGCACCCGCCTCAGCATTATCCACCCTCCCAGCAGCAGCAGCAGCAGCAGCAGCAGCAGCAGCAGTAGCAATACCACTCTACAGCCCTGCCTCCTGCTTCCGCTTCCCCCTCTGTCACCCCCCCCTCCCGCTCCCTCTATGCCAACCGCGTTTCCGGTCACTCCGACCCAGATCTCACACTCACCTATCACCCTAGAAGACCTCCCGCATCCACCCCTCCTCCCTCCTCCTCCACCACCACCGCTCCCTCCCTCTCCCCCATCTCCCACCACTCGCAGCACTCCTCTGCCGCGCCCTCTGCTGCCTCTCCGCAACTGAAATCGATCGAAAGAACCCTATCCACGGACCTTACTCCCTCCATGTACCTCCGGGTCTCCACTCTCGATCGCAACCCACGCAGCTCTTCTTATTCTTCCGCTTCGGCCTCTGCTGCTGCTGCTGGTGGTGGTACTGGTACTCATGGTGCTGCTTCTGGCGCAGGTAACGCCGGCGGCGCTGGTGGGGGTGGCGGCGGCGGTGCGGGGAGCAGGAGCAGCGTTGCTGCTGCAGCGGCTGCAGCAACAGCAGAGGCGTTCCCCCAGTTTGTGCGCACAGCAACGCTTGACAACGCCACACTAGGCCGGGTGAAGGCAATCGAACCAGACATCGGGTTTGGGGGCGCGGGAGGGGGAGGAGGATTTGGAGGATTTGGAGGAGGAGGAGGGGCAACAGGTGGTGGTCTTGGTAGCTCTGGCAGCGGTGGTGGTGCGTTCGGTGGTGGGGGGACAGGTGGAGTGGGGGGGTCGAGAGCGGGAGGAGGGGGAGGCGCGGTGGTGAGTCGGGGGGTGGTGGGGCCGCGTAGGATGCGCATGGAGCACTCGCACTCCTCGGATTTCGACTTTCACCTCCGAACGGGTGCGTCTGCCTTGAACAGCAGCGAACCCGATGCTCCTGCCAGTGCTGCTGCTGCTGCTGGTGGTGGCGGCGGTGGCGGTGTGAATGTGAAACTGGGGCGGACATCGAGTGGGGTTGCAGCAGCAGGAGGAGGGGGGGGAGGCGGGGGACTAGTAGAGCAGTCACCAGGAGCAGGAGCAGCAGGAAGCGGAGGTAGCAGCGGGGGAGGAGCAGGAGGAGGAGGCGCAGGAGGAGGAGGGCTGGCGGGTTTATCACGCACTTCCTCTATGGAGCTACCCCCGAGTGCCACAGCCACGGGCAGGCGCAAGGGCCTGGCAGGAGGCGGCTCTCTCACTCCCCTGCCTCAGCAGCGCTTCCGTGGTGGCGGCGGCGGCTCTCCTCTGGAATTCCCTGACCTGGACATTCGGCGCATCAGCCCCCAGGGCCTCCCCCGCCCCTCCTCCCATGCTTCCTCGCATGCCTCCTCTAATGCTGCTGCTGCTGCCGGTGGTGGTGGCGGTGTCGGTGGTGGAGGTGCTGGTGGTGGTGGTGGTGGAGGGTTAGGGTCCAGAGATTCGGATAGCTATGGGTTTGCTCCTACTGGCAGTGGCGGTAATGGTGGGATTGGTGGAGGAGAAGGGTTCTGGGGTGGTGGTGGAGGAGGAGGAGGAGGAGGAGGAGGAGGAGGAGGAGGGGGAGCAGGAGGGGGAGGGTTGGGTTTGCTGCGCAGTTCCAGTGATGGGCATGCGTTGAGCCATGGTCTGGTGACAGAGGCATCAGCTGCCGGCACGGCTTTCTATGACGACTTCTCTCAGTACTCGGGCGACGGAGCAGGTGGGTGCTGTGCTGTGTGGTGTGCTGTGCAGTGGTGCAGTGTGGTGGGGTGCAGCGCAGTGTGGTGTGGTGAGGTGTGGTGTGGCGCAGTCTGGTGTAGTGTAACCACATGTGATTGTAAGTTTGCCTTTGCAGTACTTATCGTCATCTCTCTTTCAACTTTCCAAAATCTTCTTCCGCTTCGCTCATCTTTCTCTTCTTCGATTTCCCTTATCCTCCTCCGTCTTCCCTCTTCCCCACCTTCCCCCATCAACATCATCACCAGCAGCAGCAGCAGCAGCAGCGGACGGGCCAGCAGACATGAGTGCAGTGAGTCCGCTGCCTCCTCTCCTCGGCACGCGCTCTGGCGCCATACCGCGTTCTGGGATGTCTAAAAGCTTTCCCCTCTCCTAACCCGCCCCACCCCTACAAGCAGCAGCAGCAGCAGACGGGCCAGCGGACATGAGTGCAGTGAGTCCGCTGCCTCCTCTCCCAGGCACGCGCTCTGGCGCCATGCCGCGGCGCCGCAGGAACTTTCCCGACGATGACACGCGCGCGCAGGGCAGCGACGAGGAGAACACGTCCTGCGGTCCCACTGGCAATGGTGGAGGTGGCGGCGGGGGTGGGGGTGGGGGTGGGGGTGGAAGTGGTGCGGGTGGTGGGGTGGTGGTGGGGGTCCTGGGTATGGGATGAGGAGGAGTGGGTCGGTGGGAGGCACGCCGCAGTCGTTCTTCCGTAGAGGCAACTCATCGGATGCTCTCGTGCAGATTGGTAAAAGCAGCAGCGGTGGTGGTGGTGGAGGAGGAGGGGGAGGGGGAGGAGGAGGAGGAGGCAGTGGTGGAAGTGGCATGTCGCAGCAGCGCTACCAACAACAGCAGCAGCAGCAGGGTCTGCATTCATCTTTCGGCATGGGCAGCAGCAGCGGCGGCGGCGGTGGAGGTGGTGGCAGCGGCAGTGGAGGAGGAGGAGGATATGGTGGAGGTGGTGGTGGGTTGAGTGCGCTATCCCGCACGCGATCCATCGACACAGCACTTCTGGCGTCACAGGGCAATGCGCATGCGAGAGGGGGAGGGCCCTTGGAGCGCGGAGGCGGCATGATGGGCAGCGGAGGGGGCATGGGCGGAGCGCGGGGAGTGGGGGGTGGTGGTGGGACCGGCGGTGTGCGGGCAGGGTAGGGATTTGAGAGGGGAGGGGAGGGACAGTGGAAGGAGGTGGAGAGAGGGAGTTGGGAGGTGGGGAGATGGCGGGAGAGTGACGAGATGTTGGGTGGAAGAGAAGGGGGGGCAGTCGAGATTCGAGTAGAGTGGGGGGAGGAGAAGGGGAGGGGGAGGGGCAGGGGAAGTCAGAGTGAGCTGATGAGGGTAGTGTTGGGACAGAGGGCAGGAGGGAAGGAACGTGGTACCGGTATTCAAGAGAGTGGTGTAGGGGAGTTGGCCCTGAAAGTGGTACAGGGGAGTGGTGTGAGGTGGATGCGCAGCTGTGAGCGCAAAAAGGAGGAGAATGGCGGCGAAGATGTGTGGGGAGAGGTGGTGGTTCCGCGCGACACTGATACCGAGGCCCATGTGACAGGGCAAGGGCAACTGTGGGTTTTTGTTAGGCGCCTTATTGAGGTGCCTACAAAAATGGAATATGGAGACGCCAATATTGAAGGCAAGTGTGGCAGCTTACAAGTAACTTAACTGACAGAAAATACGGAGTGAAAGGTCGGTGCTGCAGCAGCAGCAGCATCGGCGGCAGCAGCAGCATCGACTCGTTATCACGCCTGGCCGTTTTTGTTTTCCTGCTAATTTTTGGCATGGCATGGCAACGTTTCTTCGCCTTGAATTAAATACCAGGGGGACTGGGCTGAATTGAAGCATCCACATGCGTTTGCTTTCTGCAGCGCTGCTACGTTGAAGTCTTCTGAACTGGGGCTAACTGAATGGGCTGAAGCTGGTGGTTTGGCTTGGTACTTTAGCAGCGGTAGATGACCTGTTTTACACATGATGAACACATGCCATGTCGTTTCTACCTTTGCTGACAATATACGGTACCACATCTGAAATCCTACATTTGATACCTGAGCATACTGCAAGCTAGATGAATGAATCCAGGGCCATGCGAGCCACAGCACCAGTCTCCCTTCACCCACCCCCAGTTGCCTTGCCAACCCACAAAACTAAACGCCCTACTAGTGCTACAAATGTAGCGCTAGAGCTGCTCCAATTGCTGCACCAAGCAGCAGAGACGGAATCACCACAACCCTCCTGGGCAGCGGTTCAGTCAGCTCTAGAGTCCTCACCCTCCTCACCACCTCCCCACTTCCTCCTGTATCACCACCAGGCACCCCCACAGCAGCACCAGCAGCAGCAACGGGAGAACCAGACAGAGATGCATGGTAGGATCGGTGCTGTGAGATGCTGTGCGGTGCGCTTCTGCTACTGCTGTGTGGTGTTGGCGTTACATTCCCTGAAGGACGTGCCGTTTGGAGCAACCACCAGCCTGGCCATCTCCATCCTGTGCTAGTGCCCCCTCCCTCACCACCACTCCCCCGCACACTACCGGTACCTTCCCTCCCCAAACTCTCCCGACTCCCCGGCATCCCCAGATCTCCGAGTCTCTCGGGGTTCTCTAACCTCTCGACGAGCCTTGGTCGGGTGATTCCAAGCGCGGAGAAGAGCGCGAGGGACGCGAGAGCAGAGCAGGAGGCGGTGCAGGGAACGAGGAGCAGCAGGCGCGTGTGCAAGCGGCGCAGAGCGGCGCAGCGCAGCGCGTACGCGGCTACTGTGTGGAAGAGCGCGAGGGAGAGGCCGCGGTGCGAGGCGGAGCGGCGCTGCGCGGCGGGGAGGAGGGAGAAGGCGCGGTTGATGTCGATACGCGTGGGGGGCGAGCGAGGGAGGAAGCGGCGGAGGAAGGCGAGGAGCGGGTCGTCCTCGGGAATGTCGCCTGGAGGTGGAGAGGTGAAGTGCGGGTTTGGAGGGAGGAGAGAGGGGTGGGAGGGGTGGGTGAGAGGGGGTTGTGGAAGGGGGCGAGTGGAAGGTTGAGTCGGTGGTGGTAGGGAATGTGCAATCACAATTTGCAGTACATCCAATCCCACTGCCCTTGCCTCCCTGCCTGCGACTCTACACCCCCCTATTCCTCCCACACTGCCCGCTCTTCCACCCAACCTTATTCCTGTACCTGCCTCCCCTCTTCCATCCCCACGCATCCGTCTCCCCCCTTTCACTTTCCCCAACACCCTCACCAGCAGCAGCGGCGTCGCGCACGTGTTGGTGCAGCCATTGCACCGCGTCCACCAGCTGGAACCGCCACACCATGCCGCCGCCGCCGCCGCCGCCGCCGCCGCCGCTGCTGCTGCTGCTCCCGCTGCTGCTGCTGTTGCCGCCGGCCCCACTACCTCCCCCCCCACTACCACCCCTCCATCCGCTCCCCCGATCCCCGTCTCCGCCTTTCTCAGAAGCGCTTCCCCCCAAAGCGCCTCCGCCTCTTCCCCCGGAGCTTGCCCCCGCTCCGCTCGCGGGCGGAGGGGCGTCGCGCGCAGACGAGCGATCGTCTCTAGACGCGCCGCCGCCGCCAGCGCCGGCGCCAGGACCGGTGGCGGCGCCCGCGGCGTCGAAGTGGTGAGGCGGGAGAGCAAAGTGGTAGAAGGTGAGAGTGGCGGCGGCGTGAAAGGCGTCCGATTCGTGGAGCAAGATTTCGTCGATGCCCGGCGCGAGATTGAACGGATCGGACGGCAGGCGGATGCTGCGGAGACGGGACACGATCCCGCCCATGGCGGCGCGGGAATGGAGCGAAGAAGGTGCTGAGAAGAGAGGAGGGGTTAGCGGAATTCGCCTAGAGATTACGGTGATGGTTGTGGGCGGATCTTTTTTGGATCCTGCGTTTTCCGCTGACTGCGCGATGCATCGGATCGGAACGGAAATACGGAAATGGAGTGCTGTGCTATGGAGCTCAGGAATGGCTGGAGCACTGTCTATTGGGCTTACCCATGTGGATGACGCCTTTCACGGAGAAGTCGCGTTTTGGGGATTGGGGACTTTCGACGTCCTGACATCATCATCCTGACGTCGTTCTGTCTGTTGAGTCAACCTACCGAAAAACGAAACAGAGCTCGTTTTCCTCGTGGGGGTCAACCCGAGTTTCGATCCAATTCGTCGAAGTTCGGTGAAATTCGTCCAAGCCAAGAATTGGCAGTATTTTCATTCCTTCAGTCATCTACAATCTTGTTCTGTAGAAGCGACAGTACGTTGGTGTTCCGTAAAAAAGTGTTGCAACGGGAATTGATTTTTGAGCGACTTGAACACGGCCTCACGTTGCGTGCGACGTGACCAGCACGGCACAGCCCTTCAGGGTGAGAGAAAAATTCGCATCCACACTCTGAGCCATCGATTCGCGGTTACGCATTTCGCGCAAGTTCGCCGTCGTTGCAACATCACCACCACGACGCGGAGAGAGCGCATGGCGAAAGGTCCATTCTGAGCCCAGAAGGCCCGATTCGTCCGACCGTCAGAAGCCCCGGCACTCCGGGCGAGGCGCCGACGATTAAACTCCTCGTCCGTTTTATGGCGTAGGGGAACGCAATGGAGGATACGAAATCGCCTGACGGCTCGCCGAGTGCGGAAATTCCACCGAGTGCGGCACCCGACGCCGCCGCCGCCGCCGCCGCCGCCGCCGCTGCTGCTGCTGCTGCTGCTGCTGCTCCTGCCGTTCCCACTGTCACTCCTGCCGCTCCTCCTGCTGATCCTGCTGCCACTTCTCCTGCCACTCCTGCTGATGTTTCAGTTACCGCAGTTCCAGGACCAGTCAACCTCTCTGATGAGCTGGCAATCGCACGAGCGTGTGACACGTGGCGCGCCTTGCTTGGTCAGTTGAGGAGCTTGGATGAAGGCCGCGACGATAAGGCTGAAGCGGGGCCGGCAGTAGCGGCGCCGCCGAGGGAAATAACGGCCGGGGAAACAGCACCAACAGCAGCAGCAGCAGCAGCAGTGGGAGAAGAAGTGAAGCAAGCAGCAGCGGTGGGAGCAGAAGCAACGGGTCGCAAGCAGTGCTTGCTAGAGGCGGCGGTGGACTGGTGCATTGACAGTGTATCGCGATGGGACTATAACGAGGCACAACGAGGGGACGGGCAGGCGGACGGAGGTGCAGGAAGCGTAGGAATAGGGAAGGGGGAGGGGACGGGTGGGGCTGGGGTTGATGGGGGACGGCAGCGGGAGGAATGCAAAGGGAAGGAGGAGAAGGAAGGGAAGCCGAAGGAGGAGGATGAAATGGTGGGAGGGAAGGGACGTGGGGAAGGGAGTGATGAGGGTGCGATGGAGGTTGATGGTGCTGGTGGTCGTATGGCTGATGTGGGCGACGTGGGCGATAGGGGCAATGTGGGCGGTGGGGGTGATGAGGGCGATAAGGGCGATGGGGGCGACGTGGCAATGGGAGGAAAGAGTGAGGATGAGGCTGGGGCGGTGAGGGATGATGGGGCCGGCGGCAAGAATGAGAACGCAGTGGGTAGACTGCTGCGGGGCGAGGCCACTGCAGAGCTGGAGGGTGTGGTTAGACGCGTGATGGGGGACATGAGACATGGAGAGAGGGAGAGAGGGATCGGGGAGGGGATTGGGGAGGAGAGGGACGGGCGTGCTCTAGGGGGGATACAAGGGAAGCAGTGTACGAGTGTGGTTCGAGTGGTGGCACTGCTGGAAGAATGCCTGCTTATGGCACACACCCACTATGCCACTGCTGCTGCTGAAGTTACCACTCCTGCTGCTTCTACTGCTCCTGCTTCTTCTCCTGCTGATGCTGCTCCTGCGGCTGCTGTTGCAGCGTCGGCGTTGGCATCTGCTGCTGGTGGTGCGGTGCAGGGCAGCAGGGGGTGCAGGCAGCTGGTTGAGCGGCTGGTGAGTAGAGCGTTGGGTGCGGGAGTGTGTGCACACAAAGAGAGGGAATCACAGGGCGGGGAGACGGCAGGAACATGCACTTGCGTTATCATGCACACTGCTGCGACTGCCACAGCTGATGTGACTCCTGCACCTGCTGCCTCAAATGAGGGGAACGAGGGAGTAGAGGAGAGCAGTGAGGGGAATGAGGGAATGCAGGAGGTTGGGGTGGGGATGGATTGGCTTCTCGTGCATGTTGGTGAAAAGGCTGAGTTCACTGATGCTGTCCTGAGAGCTCTCATTGACACATGCACATGCACACGCACGTGCACGTGCACACGCCCCTGCGTGTCTCCGTGGGAATGCAAGGACTGCAACCTGCATGCATGCAGTCGCGCTTGTGAAGCAGGGCAACCTGCTGTGGCAGCTGCTGCTGCTGAGGGTGATATAAATTTGGAGGGAGTTGAGGATGGAGGGCGGTGCAAGGGGCAGGAGAGACAGGATGGGGAGGGGAAGGAGCGGAAGGAGGGGCAGGAGGGGCAGCAGGGGAAGGAGGGCGAAGGTGTGGGTGTGTCTGGCCGTCAACAGTTGGTTCGCGTCCTCACCATATTGGACTGCCTTGCAGCCAGGTGACTGCCGTGGCCTCGCCCGCATCTGCTCTGCTGTTTTGTGCGGGTGTATGGGCTCTTAGAATCTAGTACTCATCTCTCTCTCCCTCTTAATCCGTCCATTCTCCCGCCGTCCCCCCCCGCCCAAACCTCAGGAACGCACCTCTTTTCTCCGCCTCCTTTTCTCGCCTCCTCTCAGCCTACTTCGCCTCGCTGCTTCCTCTCCGCGCCTCTCATCCTCACCAATGGGCATCATTCCTTCACCTCGCAGTGGGATCAGTGTGCCTTGCCCCCAACGTCCTTCTCGTGCTCTCCTCCTCCACCCCCTCTTCCTCCTCCTCCTCCTCCGAGTCTCCTCCTGCCTCTCAGAGCAAGCGCCAAATTACACACCACTTCCCGGCCTCACATAAGCTCCCAGCCACACACCAGTCTGCAACCATAAAAGAGCACACATCCGTGTCTCCCCTGCTGCGACTGCTTTCCTCCCCCCCTGCCACTCTGCTCCGCCTCTGGCGCTGCTGCCATGGCGATGGCATGGGCATGGATGAGGGCATGGGGACGAGACGGAAGACAGATGGGTGCTGTGGGTTTCAGGACTACCTACCGCCACCTCCCTGTGTATGCACTGTAAGGCGTGGTGTGTGTGGAGGGGAGAGTGGGGAGGGGGGAAGGAGAGGGGATGTGTTTGAGGACGTCACATGATTGGCTCCCGAGCATATGCTTGTGCGTGAGGCACCACTCACCCACCCACCCACCCACCCACCCACCCACCCACCCACCCACCCACCCACCCACCCACCCACCCACCCACCCACCCACCCACCCACCCACCCACCCACCCACCCACCCACCCACCCACCCACCCACCCACCCACCCACCCACCCACTCACTATTCACTCCCCCCCTGGAACATCCTGCTTTCCTTCTCCACCCTCTACCCTTCTCCTTCCTCCCAGGCAGACGACCCCAGCAAGAGCAGCAGGGAAACCGACCCGGCGAGCAACCGCCAGTGCTACAGCAGCCACCACCACAGCAGCAGCAGCAGCAGCAGCACCGTTGCCACCACCAGCAGTACCAGCAGCACCAACATGTGCTCACTGGCTTCTTGGCTGCGATTCTTCCTTGTCAGCAGAGCCCCAATTGCCCCTTCCCTCGCTCCAGCCCTGCTCTCCGCTCTCGTTCACCTGGCCACGGAGCGGAGTCAGTTAGCCACAGATGGTGCGCAGCAGGCAAACGAGCCCGGTGGAGCAAAAGCGGATGCTGTTGCAGCAGGCGTGTGGGAAAAGGAGGTGGGGGTGCTACTGGGGTATTACTGTGCTGAGCTCACTGCTGCGGTTGTCAAGTGCGCCATGGAAGGTTCGTTTGGATTTGAATATCTGAGCTCGTGCTGTGTCCATCCTAGGGCGTGGTTTACCCTCCCCCCATGCCATGCCATGCCATGCCATGTCATGTTTGTAATGCCATACCCCACACTGTCATAGCCTTTCTCGCTCTCACTTGTTCACATCTGACCATGCTCCTCGGTGCGACTTTTGAGAATTCTCAAAAGTCGCTCCTCTCACCCACTCCACCCTCTATGTCCTCCGCTTGTCCTTCCCTCCTTTTCCCCTGCAGGCATTTCTCCTTTGTCACCGAACCACACTGCCAACAACACCAGCACCAGTGTCACTAACATCACCAGCAGCACTGCCTATCCCACCACCTCGAGTATCTCCCTCTCCTGGCGCTGCTGGCTTCCCTCCCTCTCCTCGCTCTCTCTCCACACCCCACTCCTCTGCTCCCTTCTCCTCTCCCTCTCCTCCTCCTCTGCCCCTGCTGTTGACCCTGCCACTGCTCCTTCTCTTGCTGCTGCTGCTGCTGCTGCTGCTGCTTCTGCTGCTGCGACTCGTGGCAGCATGTCAAGCCTCTGGCAGTTGCTGAAGCTGCTGCTGCTGTACTGCACACCACCAGTCACTGCTGCCTCCCTTCTGGCTCAGATGACTGTTGCGAGCAAGGGGAGAAGTAGCAGCACACGTGCACACACAGACACATGCATAGGCACGGGTGCAGGTGCAGGTGCGGGTGTGGGTGTGGGTGTGGTTATGGGTGCAAGCAGGAACAGTTTAGGGTTACATCTGGTGTGTGAGGTGATAGAGGCACATGTGACACTGGCAGGTAGGGAGACAAGTCGTTCCAACACCAGCAGCAGCATTGGTGGCGGTGGTAGCAGGCTGGTGTTGCTCGAGGGATGGTTGGATGCGGTTCTGAGGGGTGACGGTGACCTGGATGGGCTGCTGCTGTTGCTGCAGCACTGGCGGCAGGATGCCCTGGACGGGTGCGGGGAAAAGGGGTGTAGACAGAAGAGAAGTGCAGGGAAGGGGCAAGGCAGGAGCAAGGAGGCAGATGCAGTGGCAGGTTGCGAGATCTGCTGCGCACGCACCTCTCTTCCACTCACAGCAGTGTCAGCAACAGCAGCTGCAACATCAGCAGCAATATCAGCAGCGGTGGTGTCAGCAGTGTGTGGGCTGCTGTGGCAGAGGTGGGGAGATTTGCAGCGAGTGGTGGAATGGCACATAAGAAAAGGGTTTTCTTCTTCTGCTGCTGCTGCTGCTGCTGCTGTTGCTGATGCTGCTGCTGCTGGTGCTGCTGGTGGGATGCATGGGGTTAGTGCAGGGCGTGTGCTTGGCAAGCGTAAGGCTACAATGCCAAGGACAGGAAAGACGGGGATGAAAATAGCAACGGGTGAATCGGCAAGAGTGGCAGGGATGGCAGGGGCTGATTTCGAGGCACAGAACGGCTTCAATGCTGCTGCTGGTAGTGCTGGTGGTAGTTTTGCCGGTGGCAGTGGTGTTGGCACGGTTGCTGCATGGGGGGGAGCGCTAGCAGCACTGCAGTTGATGCATGTGGTGGTGAGGGCAGCAGTGCCGCCCTCGTTCCGATGGGTGTCGGGGGATTCAGAGCGCGTGCTGCAGCAAGGTCACCTGCTGGCCTTACAGCAGCAAGGGGAGGAGCGAGGAGGAGGAGGAGTGAAGGGCGAGGGAGGTGTGGGAGGGGAGGGAGGTCCGGGGTACAACCCACGCCTTGCACTGCTGCATGATGTGGAGGTGGCTCCTCGACTGGAGGTACGTTGCATCACATGCATCGCACGCATCACGGCGTTGGTTGTATCCCCCGTCCACGGCATGCCATTCTCATAAGGTCTTTCCTCCTCCACCATAGATCCTCCCTATAAGGTTCCTCAATGTAAAAACGGCCTGGAAGTAGACCACTGTTCAGTCATCTCAGAAGTTGTTTACCATTCCATAAGGTCCCTCCACCTCTCCCATCCATCTTCTCTATTCCACTCCTCTCACTCGCAGGCCCTCCTCTCACTCCTCTTCCAACACCTCTCCACGCGCCTCCACCTCCTCCTCCTCCTCCTCCTCCTCCTCTTCTTCCTCCTCTTCCACTTCCGCTGCTGTTCCATCGGCCCTGCTCCCAGCACCGTCGCATCACAAAAACTCCCCCAATCAGCACAGATCGGCCGAGAGGGAGGCGGGAGGAGATCAGGGAAAGGGGGAGAGGTTGAATGATGAGGAGAGAGTAGGGAATGCAGCAGCTGCTGCAGCTGCAGAGGCGGAGGTGGTGGAGGAGGAGTGGGGGAGGAGGGGGGATGAGTTGAGGTGTGCGGCAGAGCTGGCAGCAGTGGTGGGTAGTATGGCTGGCACGTGCTGCCACCATTTCTCTCAGGTGAAGGGGTGATGGGGATGGATGGAGGGGTTGATTGGGGTGAGGTGTTGGTGCATGTGGGGGGTTGATGGGAGCTCATGGGGTTGGGGGGTTGATGCAGGTGGGGGGATTGTTGCAGTTGGTGGTTCATACACACAAAGCACCCTGCTATTTCCTGCCCTTCAAGCTATCCCCACTCCTCGGCCCTTCAACCGCTTCCTCTCCCACCCCATCAGTTGGTGCATTCAAACACACACCTTCTGTCATCTTTGGCCCTTATCCAGCTCCTACCTCAGCCTTCCCCTTTCTCGCACCATCAGTTGGTGCATGAGAGCACAATCTTTCTGTCGCCTTCTGCACTCTGATTTATAACGCCCCAACACCTAAACACACCCCACCACCCTCACCCCCCTCCTTCCTCCCCCCACTTTCTTTCCTCGTTCCCACCCCATCAGTTGGTGCAAGAAAGCTCACTCTTTGTCGCCTCTCTCATTACCTTTTATGACGTCTCACAATTCCCTTCTCACCCCCACCCCCCACTCTCCCCTCCTCCCCCATCAGTTGGTGGAAGAGAGCACACTCTTCGTCGCCTCTCTCGCCAACGCACCTACATCCCACCCCCTCTCGCCCACACCACCGTCTGCAACCCCGCTGCGCCTGCGCCCTCACGGGCGTGCAGTAAGGGGCGTCCGCACAGCAGCATCTGGGGCGGAAGGAGTGCGCGCAGGGGGAGGGGCTGAGCGCAGCATGGGGAGGGCGGGAAGGAGCCTGCTGGCGGAGAACAGGGCGCTCAGTGCGTTCTGGGGGGCTTGGGGGAACCGGGGGGCGCTGGGCTGGGGGGAACCGGGGGGAACTGGGGGGAGTGGGGCATGGGGGGAGAGGGGGAACAAATGCCACTGGGCGACTGAGGGAGGGACTGGTGGGGAGACTTGTGGGAGTGGGATAGGGGAAGGGGTGACATAGGGGTGACATAGGGGTGGCATAGGGGTGTGTGTGGGGAGGGCTAGTTTTGAGGCGCCTCAAAACTAGACTAGTGGGAGTGGGATAGGGGAAGGGGTGACATAGGTGTGTGTGTGGGGAGAAACTGGGCATATGCAGAGAAACTTGTTTGCTTGTAAGGCAATATGATAATGCCAATGCCAATCCTCCTCAGTTCTTTCTGGTGCCTTTCTCTCCACCTGCTGTTAACCTGGATCAACTTTTCTTGTTTTCTCACCCTCCTCTCCTTCTTTCCCTCTCTTCTTTCCTCCCTTCCTTCCCCTTCCATGCCCCCAGTGTCACTTGTAGCACCAGCTCCACCAGCCCATCGCCTCTTCCCTCCTTTTGAGTCAACTCGAATGCCACCTTCATATCTCACCCTCCTGTCCTTCCTTCCCTCTCTTCCTCCCGCCCTCCCGTCCCCTCCCGTCCCCTTCCATCCCCCCAGTGTCGCTTCTAGCACCAGCTCCACCAGCCCATCGCCTCTTCCCTCCCATGCTCTCTGCCGCTCCAACACCGCCTCCACCCCATGCACCGCACTGCACTCCATCCCACGCCTCTCCCACATCCGGCGAGCTGCAGTGGGTGGTGGAGGGTAAACCTTCAGCGTCACCCCACCATGCCACACCTGCCGTACTTGCTCCCACTCCTGCGCAACGGATCAGCAGCACTGCCCCTGGTGCTGCGTCTCCTGCTGCTTCCATGCGCACTCCTGCTGCCACTGCACGAGTGGGAGGGGCGGCTGCAGCAATGGACGCAGGGGAGTCGGTTTTGCAGCACAGCCAGAGGCAGCAGCAGCAGCGAGAGGTGATGGTGGAGCGAGTGTGTGTGGAGCTGCGAGCAGTCATTTCCCTCGCTGCCACCACCATGGATGGTCGACGGAACACCACAGCACGAGGCCAGGCCAGCAGCAGTGCTGGTGCAGGGGCGGACAGTGGTGTTGCATTGGAGGATGCTGCATTGGCAGCGGGTGTGGCAGAGGCGGCGGCAGCAGCGGAGGGCAGGGCGAGTGGCAGTGCGGGCATCATGTGTGCGGCACTGGCTGCCATTGCTGACTTGCCGCATGAGCTGCCCCTCACATCGCAACAGTACCTTGAGGCGAGTGCGGGGGGGGTGGGGAGGGGAGTTGCAGGGAGAGACGGGGGTTCGGCATGGGTGTTCTTTGAGGCAACTCAAACTACATCTAGAGAGTTTGTGGGGGGGAGTGGGAGGGTTGGGAGTGCGTTGAAGATCAGAGTTTCTTACCAGTGCGTTGAGTCGAGTGGGATTTGGCAGTGCGGGCATCATGTGTGCAGCACTGGCTGCTATTGCTGACTTGCCGCACACATCGCAACAGTACCTTGAGGCGAGGAGGGTGTGTGTGGGGGGGATGGGGGATACGAGAGAGAGGGGGTTTCAGTGGGAGAAAGACGGGCAAAGAAGTAGGAGGTTTGGGAGTGATTTAGGAGTCCGTGTCGTTTCATGTGTCATTTGATGTGTCATTTGATGGGAGCTACAAGAAGGGAGGGCGATCAATTGGGGAGTGATGGGTTAGGGCTTGGTGCAGAAGCCACACTAGGAGCGCTTGGCTTGACTTTTGAGAATTCTCAATAGTCAAACCAACATATTTGGGCAGTATCACGCCACTACGACATTGCATCAGCGCCTTTCAAACTCGCAAGTAGCTTGCTCAAACCTCGGCCCTCGCCCCTATCACACATTCCCCACCCACCCCCCCACCCCTATCTCATGCCTCCCTATCTCCTTTCTCCCCTCTTTTATCTCCCATCTCTATTTCTTCTCTTTAATCTCCTATGCTCACCCAGGTGCTTCCAAGAAAGGTGGCGGCAGCACGCCACACGTACATACTCCAGTCCTTCGCCACCAACCCCTTCTTGCTCCATGTCAGTTTTTTTTAGTCGACTTAAAAATCGACTTATCACGCGCGCCACACGCACATACTCCACTCCTTTGCCACCAACCCCTTCTTGCTCCATGTCAGACCCCACACTCCCTCGCCCATTTCCCCTCTCCTCAACCCTGCCCCTGCCCCTGCCCTCACCCCTACCTGTTTCCTTCTTTCCTAAAAACCGTTTTCTCTATTCTAGTCCATCTCGTCTCCTCCCTCTGCTCCTCCCTTCACCCATATATCTAGTCTATCCTGCTTCGTTCTGTCTCCACACCCCCTTCTGGCACAAGCCATTGAGTTCTCTGATACTAGCAACTTGTTCAGCACTTCATTGGTGCTTCGCAGAACTCGAACTGTGCTTCTCTCCTCCTCCGTCACTCCTCATCGACCCACGCACCCACCTACACACTCACCCACCCCGCCTCTATCCCCCCATCCCATCACTCTCCCCATCGCCCCACCACAGCTCCTGGCAGCAGCAGCAGAGGCGCTGCAGCAGCAGGCGCGCATGGTGGCATGGGTGCATGCGAGTGTGGGCGAGGAGGTGGTGCGAGCGCTGCTAGCAGACTCCATCAGCCATGCCACCGTCGCCGCCAACAATGCCTCTTCTCCCCTCAACATGCCTGCAAGGGTAGGCCCAGTGTGTGGCTTTGTTACGGAGGGTTGAAAATAGCACTACTGGCAGATGCCATCATACCCCAACCCCCTTTTTCTCCACCGGTGGAACGTCACTCACCCATCTCCCCCTCTCCACTCAACGTGGAGGAGCATTTGAGATTTACCCACCCATTGCCCTTCCATCCACTTTCTCGTCCCATTTCCCCACTCCCAACTTTTCTACTCACGAACCTCGTTCCCTTCCCTTTTGTCTCCATCTGTTCCCCCATCCGCCGTCTCCAATCTCATCCCCCGTCCATCCGTCTCCAATCTCAGGTCCGAGCAACAGCACCAGCAACCCTTCCTTCGCGCCCGTCATCCCCTGCAACACCACGAGGCACCAACTCCACCACCGCCGCTGCCACCATCGGCACCACCACCGCCTCCAGCATCCCCTCCCAGCCTCCCTTCCCGAAACCCTCTTCCGCAGCCGCCTCCTCTCCGCCCTCCTCCCCTCCCTGGTTGCACCGCCTGCCTGCCCTCTCCTCCTACATGCACGCTGCAGCCTGGCTGCCCACCCCTCTCGCCCGTGCGGCCTCTCTCACGCACCTGCTGTCCCCCCGTGACCTTGCCGATCTGCTGCTGCTCCTCTGGCACTGCATGGACTATGCCATTGCTGCTGGGCCTCTCTTTGCCTTCTTGCCTTGGAAATCTGCTGCTCCTTCTCCTGCTGTTGCCGCTCCTGCTGTTGCTGCTACTGCTGCAGCTGCTCCTGCTTCTGCTTCTGCTCCTGCCCCTGCGCCTGCTGCTGCTGCTGGGACTGATGGTGTTACAGCAGAGGACTTTGGTGCTCCGAAACTGATTCTCCACCCACCTTCCAAAGCTGGCATAGACAGCAGTGCTGCTCCTGTCACTCAACACACCGCAGCTCCCCCTTCAACTACACCCGCCACTCATTCTCTCCTCCACGCCTTGTTGCTGCAGCACCAGCAACAGCCTTCGGAGGTCAGTGCAGGCTCCTTTCCTTCCGTATGCTTCTTCCTCCGCCTTTTAGTTCACTTGTTTGCTTCTTAGTTATAACCGAACTCTCCTTGTCTGCCTTACCCTTCCCTCTCCCTTTGCTCCGCTTCTCACCCCAACAACGAGTGTCTCACGCAACCATTGCGAGCCGTCCCCTTGACACTGCGATCACTCGACTTTTCCCTTTACCTCTTGCTGCTGCGTGCTCCCTTTCCTTGGCACACCATCAGGCAGCAGCAGGGAGGGCAGTGCCCCCCTGGAGGGGGGTGCTGCTGACACTCGTGCGCCGCAACATTGCCACGCTAGGGCCCTTTGCCAGGCAATTGCTGCTGGACGAGGGGTAAAGACTGACTGTCTTTTCTCTCTAAGACACCATAACGAGACTGTTTTCCAGGAGCTTTAAGAATCAACGCAACATTGCCACGCTAGGGAGGGCCCTTTGCCAGGCAGTTGCTGCTGGACGAGGGTTAAAGATGACTGCTGACTGCTTCTAGTGAAGAGAAGGCTTTCGAGGCGCCTCAAGAACCACCGCAACATTTCTTGCCACACTATGGGCCTTTTTCCAGGCAGCTGCTGCTGCATGAGGGTTGAACAACTGACTGATTTGTGAAAAGCCAGATTCTCAAGCTCGTCAAGTACTGTTGCGATAATGTCATGCCACGCCTCGTTGCCAGGTAGCTACTACGAAGGATAAAGGTTAGCAAGATTATGGCGGATTGTGTTTCAGAAGCTTCAAAAATCACCACAGCATCAACTGTAACAATTGGTGGTCTCAGGTTTGGTAGTTGCATGGTATTGGGAAGGAAACTAGAACTGGCAGTAGGTGAAGTGTCTACGCTGGTGATTAGAGGAACATATTCCACTTCATACTAGAACTGGCAGTGGGTGAAGTGTCTACGCTGGTGATTAGAGGAACATATTCCACTTCATACTTCCATGCTGAAACCAATAATACATATGGTTTTTACTCATAATTATCATACCATACCGTACACCTTCCAAGAGCAATACATAACCACGGATACATGGTTCTCTATACTGGTGTAAATTAAAACGCCGGACGCCCATAGCCTGGGTAGGAAGAACCCCCCCCCATTCCTCCGGGTCCCCCACGCCCGGAGGAAGAATTGGGCGGGGGTCTGATGCTGACACGGGCATCGTCCAGCACGTTAAGAGAGGGAGCGAGGAGGCGCGTGTAGCGGTCAAAGTAGAGCAGCTGCTTCAGCAGCAGCCCGAATTCCCTGGGAAAGCGGAGGCCATATCCTTCACTCACTCTCACCTGCGAGCGCATAGGAATAGTGAGGTTGAAGGGGGGAGGAAGGCGGGTTGGGTGAGGACCATATGGGGGATGCAATAGGATGGGAGATAACAATCAAGAGTACACGGAGAACACAGGACACATAGGGCACAACATCAGCACAAGTAGCGTCTCGCATCACGCAGAGCAGAGCCTATGCCATGGTTTGTTCAATTACTTGGTTGCCCATTTGCTTGCATAATTGCTTACAAGTTGCAGCAGCAGGGTGTTGATCTGCTGCTCATCCACAGCCACCGCAGCAGACACGGTCGCCGTGGCACTGCCTGCACCACCCCCTGGCATGCCTCGCCCCATCGCCGGCGGCTGCTGTGTGGACGTCACTATCACCTGCGGATCCAAGTCCTGCCAGGGTGCCGGGGGCACGGGAGAATGGGGAATTGGAAAGGGAGGGGAATGCAGAAAGGGGTGACTTTTGAGTCGACTCAAAAGTCACCTCTGTCATGATCACTTGTGGATCCAAGTCCTGCCGGGGTGCCGGGAGTATGCGAGAATGGGGAAGTGGGAAGGGGATGGGAACGTTGAAAGGGAAGGGGATGGGAACGTTGAAAGGGAAGGGGATGGGAACGTTGAAAGGGAAGGGGATGGGAACGTTGAAAGGGAAGGGGATGGGAACGTTGAAAGGGAAGGGGATGGGAACGTTGAAAGGGAAGGGGATGGGAACGTTGAAAGGGAAGGGGATGGGAACGTTGAAAGGGAAGGGGATGGGAACGTTGAAAGGGAAGGGGATGGGAACGTTGAAAGGGAAGGGGATGGGAACGTTGAAAGGGAAGGGGATGGGAACGTTGAAAGGGAAGGGGATGGGAACGTTGAAAGGGAAGGGGATGGGAACGTTGAAAGGGAAGGGGATGGGAACGTTGAAAGGGAAGGGGATGGGAACGTTGAAAGGGAAGGGGATGGGAACGTTGAAAGGGAAGGGGATGGGAACGTTGAAAGGGAAGGGGATGGGAACGTTGAAAGGGAAGCGGATGGGAACGTTGAAAGGGAAGGGGATGGGAACGTTGAAAGGGAAGGGGATGGGAACGTTGAAAGGGAAGGGGATGGGAACGTTGAAAGGGAAGGAGATGGGAACGTTGAAAGGGAAGGGGATGGGAACGTTGAAAGGAAAGGGGGAGGGGAATGCAGAAAGTGAAGAGACAGTTCACACACCTATGACGCCCAATTACCCTCACCTAACCTCCACAGCCTCAAATAACTGTCGGAGGTCGTTGGCAAAGGTGGAGCGTGTGTCCCTGGTCATTCGAGACAGCCTCAAAACCTGTCTTGAAAGACGGCTCACACCTCTATGACGCCCAATCACCCTCGCCTCACCTCCACAGCCTCAAATAACTGTCGCAGGTCGTTGGCAAAGGCGCGTGTGTCGATGGTGCGGCCGTCAGCAGTGGCGCCCATGCCTATGAGCGCCGTGGCCATGGTGGTGTAATCGCCCGAACCTATGGACGCGAGGAATGCTGCTAGGGATGCCCATGTGTCTGGGGATACCCGCCCCACGATGCCTGATAGGAGACGCAGAGAGAGAGGGGGTTGGGGGAGAGGTGTGGGGGGGAGGACAAGACGCATGGGAGGGCGGAGGACAGCAAAAAGGGGCAGGGAGCAGGGCGAATAGGGCGAGGGAGGGCGGGAAATAGAGCGAGCAGGGAACAAGGCGAGCAGGGAACAAGGCGAGCAGGGTTAAGCGGGGAGGAACGCACCGAAGTCAATGAAGGCAACACGGCCGTCATTGCGCACAAGGAGGTTGCCCGCATGCACGTCCGCATGGAAGGTGTCACACGCAAACAGACTGCCGAACCTGCCATGCACTCACACACGGACGGGACGGTGTGAAGAGAGGTAAAAGGAGGTGGAGGAGGGAGGGTTGAGCCTTCAGCCTGGCACGCACGCACAGCATTACCCCGCACATGCCAGGGGCTTCACACAACAGCAGCCAGTTTTTGAGAATTCTCAAAAACCAGCTCGTAAAGGGAGGTGGAGGAGGGAGGGTTAAGCCTTCAGCCTGGCACGCACTCACAGCATTACCCCCCGCACATTCCAGGGGCTTCACACAACAGCAGCCAGCAGCATGCCACGATGAAACCCCTGTTGCGGCATAATGCTTCAGGATTCGGCACGATTCCGCGCTCGCTCCATGGTGAGCACACGTGTGGAGGATGCGTGTGTGTACACACCCCCCACAAGTACCATCCAGCACTAGCACAGACACCACCCACACACCACCTTACAGCTCTTTCCCACCCACCCTTCCTGTCTGTCTTTCTTCCCACCCTCCCTCCCTTCCCTCCCTCCCTTCTCTCCCTCCCACCTACCACACGTTGAGAGCAGCAATAAGAGTCGCCTCAGGATTCGGCACGATGCCCTTGAGCGCGTCTAGGTCCGTGAGCGGCACCCCCCTCACTCTCTCCATTGTGAGCACACGCGTGGAGGACGCGTGTGTGTACACGCGCGGGCACGTGGCGAGCGCACGCAGCGAGGGCGAGGAGTCGAGGTAGGCGGAGAAGGCAGCGAGGTTGCGCGCCTCCTTGCCCATGTCCACCTCCTCCATCATGGACGCGCGGATGTCCTGCACTATGCCCACCTGGTGGGGGGGGGGAGAAGGGGGAGGCGGAAGGAGGGGGAAGCGAGGCATGGGGACTAGCTTGGGGGGGCGGAAGGGGCCATGTTTACCTCCTCCATCATGGAAGCGGGGATGTCCTGCACTATACCCGCATGGTGGGTAGGGCGACGGTTGAAGGAGGGGAAGTAAAAGGGGAAGGCGGGTAAGGAGGGGAAGGAGGGGGGGAAGGGGGGGGGGAAGCACCAGGAAGGCGAGGGGAGAGAGTGAAAAGGAAGAGGAGGGGAGAGAGCGAGAGTGAGGCATCGAGGGAGAGAGGCCGGGAAGGTTGGAAATGAAGGGAGCCAAAAAGTGTCGCAGCAAGCGAGGAAGGGAGGGAGGGAGGGAAGGAGGGAGGGAGGGAGGGAGAAAGGGAGGGAGGGAGGGAGGGAGGGAGGGAGGGAGGGAGGGAGGGAGGGAGGGAGGGAGGGAGGGAGGGAGGGAGGGAGGGAGGGAGGGAGGGAGGGAGGGAGGGAGGGAGGGAGGGGAGGGAGGGTAGGAGGGAGGGAACGAGAAACAGCGAGGGAAAAGGGAGGGAAGCGGTCTCACAAGGGAGGTGCGTTCAATGGAAGGGTTGAGGAACTCGAGGACGCGAGCACAGACGTAGACGAAGTTGAGGTCCGTGGTGAGCGTGTCCTCCACTCCTGGCTTCACCACCTTCACCACCACCTCCGCGCCACTGCCCTTTAGCCTCGCTGCATGCACCTGCCACACGCGGTGCACACACGCAGTGCGGACACATAGGGGGATTTTGAGAGGGGGGTGAGACAGGGGGGTGAGACAGGGGGGTGAGAGAGTGAAGGTTCGAGAGGAGGGTGAGAGAGGGGGGTGAGAGAGAGGGGAGAGAGACACAGGCGGGTCAGACAGGCATGCAGACGCACGGACAGGGAAAACGAAAGGGGGGGGGGCGAGGGAGAAGGAGAGGGAAAGGGAAACTAAAGGACAAGGACCTGGGGAAGAAAGTGGGCAGGAGATTGGAAGGATCACGCAGGCGTCCAAACAGACCCAATGGGAATGTATACTCACTCTTTTTGCTGTAACCATCAGCCGCATTATAGCAAGAGCAGCATTGGCGGCAGCAGCAGCTGCAGCAGCGGCACCATCACCAGCAGAGGCGGAAATCTCACCTGAGCGATAGAGGCCGAAGCGAGTGGCGTAGGATCCACGAATTCATACACATCCCTCAGCGGGCGCTTCAGCTCCCTCACAATGATCCCCTTCACCGTGGCAATTCAAACGGCACCAGCGGCGTCTCCTGAGGCGATTCAACAGCAGGAAAATCCCACCTGAGCGATGGAGGCCGAAGCAAGCGGCGTGGGGTCCACGAATTCATACACGTCTCCAAGCGGGCGCTTCAGCTCCCTCTCGATAATCCCCTTGACCGTGGCGAACGGCACGGGCGGTGTCTTGTCGAGGCACGTCTGGAACTCGGTGACATACTCCGGTGGGAAGAGCGAGGGCGCGGACGCTATGAACTGCCCCAGCTTTATGTACGTCGCGCCCAAGCGCTCGAATAGCCGACGGAGCTCTGCTGGGCCAGGGAGCTGGATGGATGATGCTGGGGATGTGGATGGGGCCAGGCGCTGCTGCTGCTGCACTGCCTGGAGGGTGGGGGAGGAGTGAGGGAAGGCGAGGAGGGGGGGGAAGATGATTGGAGGGGAAAGGGAGGTAAGGGAAGGGGAGGGGATAGGATGAGACGGGATGGGATGGGATGGGATGGGATATATGGCTGAGGCAAGAAGCAAAAGTGCACGACGAAGGGTGGACAGGGGGAGTGGGTACGTGAGAGCGTAGGCCATCTCGTGCATGACTTCACTGGGAAACCTATTACGAGTAGGGCAGAGGGCGATACCTGGATCTGTGCCGACAGCAGCGACGGCCTGCATTATTGGAATTCTTCTCCTCGTCCTTTCTACCTCAAGACCAGGGCAGAGGGCGATACCTGAATCTGCTGCAGCAGCCAGTCAGAGCCGACGGCAGCGACGGCCTGCACGCCCTGCACGAAGCGCGTGGCGCCGCGAGGCCCGGTTTTCACGGCCACGCCCACTATGTCCTCCATCAGCCGCACCAGCTGCTGCGCGCGCTCTGACGTGGCGCGCGGGGAAAGGGGGCGAAGGGGCGGGGAGGGGGGGGGAGGGTGGGGGAGGAACGAGGGGGGAGGGAAGATTGGTGAGAATTGGGTGGAAAAGGAGGTGGAGCGGAGTGACAAGGGGGAACTGAATTGTGAGGCGGAATGGGACCGGAGCGAAGGCACGGGGATAGTGGGAGAGGGAGGATGGAGAAAGGTGGAGCTTTGTACGGTGCAAGGCGCATCTACTACTGGTGTACGGCATCGCGGTAAGTGGATGGATGAGGGGGGAGACGGCTCACCTCGGGCGAATTCTTGTCGTTGCGCGTCGGTCATGGTGGCTGTGCCATTGAAGGCGTTGAAGGGAGACGAGGAGGACGAGGAGGGCGCTGAGCGGCGCGACGTTCGTGTTCCTGCGCACGTTGACGCACGCACACACGCACGCACACACGAACGCGCAGGATTCGTCTTCGTGATTTCAGGACGTAATCGCGCGCCCTGCCGGCAAGAACGCCGCGCATACGAGCACAATAACACGCGCACACGGTGTAAATGGTAACACTAGAGCTGGCGGCGATCTAGATACTACTAGGCTTCGCACATCACTGACGCACTATTCGCACCCCACTACCGCTAAGAAAACTTTCAGGACACCAGTCTGACCGCAGAGCGCCAACATCCCGCTCCCCTTCACTCGTCAGTCCCCGCTCACTCCGTTCCTATGCTCGCAGCGCTACGCGCTTTCATGATAGTCCCCAACTCCCCAACTCCCCTATGCTGGACGTGTCCTATCACCAACTCCCCTTCGTCCCCTTCATCTCCACGCACCGCTGGTGGAAGCTGCGCGCGTGACGACGCGGCTCTCTTGTCTGCCGGACGGGTAAAGACGATTAACTCGCACGCGCGCTGGTGCGCTTTGTTGTAGAGGCGACCCGAGAATGGGAGAGGAAAGCTTGGATGCTTGAATGGCGTGACTCGCACGAGATAACGACCTGACCGCCATCGTTGTTGCGCCTGTGGATATCGATTCACACGCTCGTGGCGTGATCAGCAGACGACGAAATTGAGAACAGATTTCGAAGATAAGAGGAACCTGCGACCTGAATAACTTGTGACTTGCAGCTTTTTGGCGGAACTCCCTTCCCTTGCCAAGGCAATTCCGAGGTGCTGCTGACGTCCAATTGTCCATCCGCTTTTCCTTAGAAAACACAGCGCGCCAATTCAGAGTGAGGAAAGCCTCGTCTTCGCCCACCACGTCGCCAAATAGCAGGTTCCTGATTCCTGAATACTACAGGTGTCCATGTCGTTGGCCTCCACGCTGTGTGGAGCTTCAGCGAATCATGAAGCAGCACGAAGTCGGTGTGGCAAAAGCTCCTCGAAGCCAGCACCCAGTCAGTTCCTCTCGCCATACCCCCTTTGTGATGCATTAGTACTAGACTTCAAAAATTTCAGTGTGTAAGCGTGTCCTACATACGTATATCAGACTACCACACAATTTTTAAGTATCACTATTACGTAGATAGATGCGAGTTTTATGAAAAATCCTTAAATTAAAATGCTATGTGAAAATTGGTAAGCTATATTAAGGAGAACGTTCATATAACATAAAGAAAACTTATAACCAAAAGCCAATGTGAGTGCATTTTATGTCTATTACTTCTCTTTATTATACGGTGTGTAAGTCAAGCATTTGAGGCGAAAGGCGTTAGGCAATGCAGAAATCGCGATAACCACACGTAACCGCTTCGCAGTCGTTCATCAGGTCAGGTCCCCCCATGCCCAGGCTTGCGTGTAACGCTGGCTGTCGTCGTACCGCCGTCCACACACACCAAGCCCCACTGGGCTCTATTGTGATTGGCTATATCATTGTCATGCATTTGCGGAGTCGCCTGGAATTCAGTCGCATCGCGGCCCTGATTCTTGGAGGGAGGAATTTGCTTATGTTTGAACACAAAGATAGCTGAGGGCGTATTCCTGGACCTCGTGTCAAGCTGTGTTTGTGTCAACCTAGAATCTTGGAACGCATGCGATTGGTTTAAAAGGTACAACTGGCCAATCAGGTGCGCTCCATAGTTATGGGTTGACACCAACTGGTTCTTGACACAAAGTCAGGAATACGCCCTGAATCGTACTAAACCGCGATACAAATTTCATAAAAAGCCCTCACAACTTGCAAACGCACATTTTGCTGAATTTGTCTTCTGCACCTTGCAAAAGAGGTTGATGAAGTCGCCTAGCTTGCCACCTGAAACCAACCTGCCGACCATTGCCTCACTCGGAAACGGCCGTTCTCAATAACCACATTCTCCCATCTGGAAGGTGAATGTCTGACTAGGCTCGCGCCCATGGAGATCAGACCAGCTATATAATGGAATCCTCTTTAACGTAACTCTCAGGCCTTCAGTGATCAACAGCATTCCATACGAACTAGTTTTCCTTGGAGAGTCAGATTCACCTTTCTTCCTGACCCAAACACAGCCCTACTATTCAACCGAACACATTCAGCCGATACAAGATGGCTCGCACCATCAGCAGCAGGCGCAATGGCAGGCGCAGCGTCACCTGTTCCGTCCTCCTCCTCGTCCTCGCCGTCTCCATAAACATCTCCGTGTCGCGCGCGGACAGCTCATCCTCCTCCTCCGACGGCGGATCCGACGGGCCACCCAAGGTGGGCAAATCCGCGGGGTCCATCACGAGCGTGACGAACAACCCCAAGCCCGACGGGCACGGCGAGGTGGACGACGGATTCCGCGCGGATGTTCCCAAGGCGGTCCTCGCGCAGGACGACCCCGGCGCGACGTACGTGGACGTGAAGCAGGATTCGCTCGCCATTCCCGATGTCAAGAAAGCCGGGTGGAACCGCATGAAGTGCCCCCCACATCTGCCGGTGCCCGGGCAGGGCGCGTGCACACCGGCGAACTGCAGCAAGGGCAAGATTCCCGCTAAGTGGAAGACGTCCAACCTGCTGAAGCACAAGCTGGGAGTGGAGATTTACGTGAAGGGAAATCCGTTGACAGTGAAGAAGGCGTCCCCGCAGACGTGCTGCAACACGTGCGCCGCCACGCCGCGCTGCACGTACTGGCAGTTCATCCCCGACATCACCCTCGACGGCACTAAGTGAGTGCGCTCGCCGCCAGCGGGTGTGGCAGAAACGACGCTCTGCATTTCCTGCACACTGCATTCTGAATTAATTCTGACTCACGTTCCCAACGAGGAAGTCCACACGGACTTAAGCCCACGCTGAATATGTCTCTCACGCGGCGTGTTTGTTATGCGGTGCGCGTGTCAGGACCCCTGGCGCGTGCTTCCTGGTGCACGACGAGATCGACTACACGTGCGGGCAGATCATCGCGCAGTACGCCACGGATACCAAGCCCGTGCCCCTGCAGGTCCGTCCGTCCGTCCGTCCCGTCCGTCTCCGTCCATCCCGTCCGTCTTCGTCCGTCAATTTCGCTGATTCCTGTTCCATTTCTTATTCTCCGTCATTTTTTCAATCAACCGCTTCCATCTGCGATGCTAATCCCTTGCAGGTGCGCCTTGGCGGCGAGTGCAACAGCGCGCCGGAGATCCTCAACGACCCGCATCTGGTGGGCGCGTACGGCACGCACTTCGACTTCAACGGCCGCCCGGACCACGCTTTCTGCTTGCTCACGGACCGCGACCTGCACGTGAACATGCTGCTGCGCGGATACTACGACGACCGCACGGAGGGCGCTGCGCTCGTGGTGGACGGCAAGGACGTGCACACGTGGATCAAGTACGCGAATTCGCAACTTTTTCTTTCACATTGCCATAGTCACTGGTTCTGAAATTGGTTCTTGAACTTTCCTTTAATCCTCTTGCGCCTTACCTTCAGTCCGATTTTCCCTCTTTCTTGATGTCATGGCGACAGGGAGCTTGGTATTGTGTGGACAGCGAAGGGTAATACCCACAAGGTGCGGCTGGCGGCGCGCGGCGGCAAGCAGCAGGAGCGCGGCGCGGGATTCATGAAGACCATTGAGATCGACGGATACCCCATCAAGCGAATGGCGGTCGGAGACTCCGTCTCCGCTACAGGCGGACTCACTATAGCTAACCCTAAGTTTTGTACCCCCTAAGACAAACCTCACTATAGGCTACAACATTTGACACACCCCCATAGCCTAAGTGAGGGGTGTCTAGCAGAACCAAACGAGTACGGTCACAAGACCAGTCCAAGAAACGAAGCTCAGGGTGGATCACAACGTCACCACACAGTCTGAGCACAAACAACAGTGGCCACAAGGCCAGTCCAAGAAGTAACAGAGGTATATAGAAAGCAAAGTAAACAGTACACTCAAGCCTAAGCAACACGAGAACCAGTGTCAACAAGGCCTAACTGCACACAGCACCTCTGGTGGTCACAAGGCGGAAGCGCCTTGGTGAAGATGTCTGCAGTGTTGGCCTCGGACTCCACAAACTCAAAGCGAGCCTGTCCACGCCTCTGCAACTCTCGCAGAAGAAAGTACCTGACGTGAATGTGCTTCACTCTGCTCTCCAGTCGTGGCTCTCGACAAAGGAGAATAGACGCCTTGTTGTCAGTGAACAAGGTCGGTGCAGAGCTCGGCCGCTCACCAAGGTCGGTGAGCAAGAAGGTCAACCAACGCAGCTCTTGTGCCGCCATGGCACCAGCGTAGATCTCAGCCTCAGCTGTAGAGGTCGAGACCGAAGAGGAGCGCGTGGACCGCCAAGAAACAACTCCAGAACCCAGGCTGAAACAGTACCCCTGAGTAGACCTGTGAGTCTCAGCGTCGTCAGCGTAAGAGGAGTCACAGTGACCAGTAAGTACGACAGACTGCTGCCCTCCAAGAACTAGCCCCACGCCTGACGTCGTCGCTAGGTACTTCGCCACCCTCACAGCTGCTGTCCAGTGAACAGGACGGTGTCTCCCTGGCGCAACAAAGCGCGCAAGAACGCTGAGAGGGAAGGCGAGGTCCGGGCGAGTACAAGTCATCAGGTACATGAGGCAACCCACAAGCTCTGCGTAGGGACCACTAGGCTCGAACGGCTCGTCAGGAAAGGGTCCAGTGAGTCTGTGGTCAACAGCAAGAGGTGTGCGCTGTACTGTGGAGTGCTGAAGCCCGAACCGCTGAAGGACCTGCTGCACCATGTGCGACTGTGAAAGTGTAATGGTGCGAGCAGCTCTGTCCCTGGTGATCTGCAGGCCAAGGTAGTGGCGCAGCTCACCAAGATCAGTGCAGGTGTGTCTCTTCTGCAGTTCAGACTTCACGTGTGCCAAAGCAACCCTGTCAGGGGTGGCGAAAACAAGGTCGTCAACGTAGACCAGAACAAAGAAAGGTGTGGGGCCACGACGAACGAACAGCGACGGGTCAGCAGAAGACGGCTGGAACCCAAGGTCAGACAGGGTAGAACGCAGGGTGTCGTGCCACTCACGAGGAGCCTGACGAAGACCGTAAACCGGTCGCCTCAGCCTCCACTGGGTCCCAGGAGGGAAAGAGCCAGTGAAGGCAGAGGGACGACGCAACCAGACCTCCTCGTGAAGACTGCCCTGAAGGAAAGCAGTAGAGAAGTCGAGAGAGTGTAACTCGTAGTCTCTCTGTGCTGCTACGTGTAGTAACACCCAAAGAGTGGTCATCTTCGGGGTGGGCGCGAAGGTCTGAAAGAAGTCAACTCCCTCGCGCTGACTGAAACCTCTAGCCACGTAGCGTGCCTTGAAGACCGGAGGAGATCCCGGTGGCCGCTTCACCCTGTAGATCCACATGCCGTCGACTACGTTCGCCCCCGGAGGGGGAACCTCATCGACGTAGGTGCCTGTGGATCTGTAGGAGGCCATCTCTGCGTCCATGGCAGCTCTCCACTGAGAGGCCCAAGGCCCTGACACTGCCTCAGCGTAAGTGCGAGGAGTCGGAATGTCAAGGGCGTCGGGGTCACCCTCAGGGGCGAGGAGCATGGCACAGAGATGAGGGGAAGCGGCCGCCAGGAACTCTAGCTCAAACTGCCTGTCCTCTAGGGCGTCACAGCCAAGGGCAGACACACCCCCGACGGCCAGAGGACTGGAAGGAGGAGCAGCCACAAGAGTGGTGGCGAAGTCAAGGCGGCGGGTAGAGGCAAACTCAGTGACTGCGGCAGTAAGAGCGGACACAGAGGACACAGAGGCACGAGGGTGGGTAACAAGAGAGGCGAGAACACGAGAGAGAACAGGACGGTACGTGCGGTAGTAGTCAGTGACAGGAGAAGGAAGCGACACAGTGAGGGCCGACTCAGGAGGAGACGGAAGCACAGACGGAGACGGACGAGGTGGACGAGAACAAAGGAAGGCTGTACGAAGGTCAGTGAAGGGAACAGGAGACGAGGGACGAGCACGAGGGGAGCGACGAGAGGCCCAAGTCTGAGAAGGAGGAGGAGACAACGAAGACTGAGAACGAGGGAAAACAGCGGGAGAGGGGTCAGGAGGAGGAAGCGGAGGACCAGAGACGGGAGGAGAGGGGGAGGAGGAAGGAGAGGGAGACGGGAGACCAAGGGTCCGAAGACCCGAGACAGGAGGAGGAGACAGCAGCAGCAGCAGCAGCAGCTGCTGCTGCTGCTGCTGCTGCTGCTGCTGCTGCTGCTGCCGCGGCTGCTGTGGCTGCTGCTGCTCCAGCGGCTGCTGCCTCTGCTGCTGCTCCTGCTGCTGCTCCTGCTGCTGTCGCTCCTGCTCCTCGAGCCGCTGCAACTCTCTCTCCTCTCTCTCCAACTCCAGCTGCTCCTCACGAGCACGGCGAACACGAGCCTGGAACCTGGTCGGGTAGGGGTGGGGGGAAGGAGTAGTGTCCGGGGCAGCGGCAGCCCCAGAGTCGACCTCCGAAGCACCAAGCACACCACCCCCAGAGGCAGCACCAACACCAGCTCCAGACCCAGGCTCTCCAGAAACCGAAGGGACACCCTCACCCCCAGACGCAGCACCCCCAGACTCCGCACCAGCACCCCCAGACTCCGCACGACCAGTACCAGCCCCCGGAAGACAAGAGTCCTCTGCAACCCGCGGCTCAGCTCCAACTCCAGCACCCCCAGAACCAGAGACCTGTACAGGGACAGTCGCAGGACCAACCTCCCGAGAGGGAGCACCTGCAGGAGGCGGCGAGGAAGACTGTGGGGAGGGAGGCTGTACAGGGGGGGCTACCGAAGGGGGAGGGCTAGCCTGAGACACACCAGACGGGGCTGGACCAGGGGGGGGAGGCTGTACCGGGGGAGCAGGCGGGGGAGCGGCTGTCAGGAAGAGGGGGGGAGGAGGAACCGGGAGACCTCGACTGGGGTACCTGACGTAGTACGGGGTGGACTCCTCGAAACGGACGTCACGGGAGTCAAAGAACCGGTGAGAGGGAGGGTGGTAAAAGGTGAAGTCAGAGGAGTCCTCAGGGAAACCAAGGAAGACACAAGGAACGGCGCGAGGCGAGAGCTTGTCCGCGGAGGTGTCGCGGACAAGAGCCAAGCACCCCCAGACACGAAACCTCGACGCGACACCAGGGGACCCTGTCCAAAGACTGGTCGGTGAAGCCTCCGGCCGAGAGACGCGTGGCCAGAGGTTCAGCTGGTGCGCGGCGTACCTGACTGCGTATGGCCACAGGAAATGGGGGGCACGGGCGTGAGTCAAGGAGGTGCGGGCAATCTCCATGACCAGGCCTATGCGACGCTCAGCAACCCCATTCTGCTGTGGGGACTCCGGAAGCGTCCAGGACTGACGAATGCCCTGTTCGCGACAGAATCCAGCGAGAATGCCGGAGCGAAACTCGCCCCCGCGGTCGGAGTGGAGACAGCTGACACGACGACCACGAGTGTCCTGGGTGGTAAGCAACCACCTGATCAGTGTAGAAGTCACCTCAGACTTCCTCGCCAGGGGGAACACTGTGGTATAGCGGGAGTAGTCGTCAACGACCACCAAAAAGAAACGCTCACGCTCAGGGCCAGGGCAAGGAGAGGGGCCCCAGACGTCCAAGTGCAGCGTCTCAAAAGGCTCGGTGGCCGGACGAAGGGAGGAGGAGTGAGGGGTGGCACGCAGCCTACCCTCGACGCAAGGACCGCACGGTGGTGCAAGGGACGGCGGCAGCGACGGCAAGACACGCGGGAGACCTAAGACCAGACGCTGACTAGACATAGCACGCAGACGTGGAAGAGAAGGGTGTCCCATCCGGTGGTGCCACAGAACGGTGGGGTGGGCAAGCGACCGACAGGAGCAAGACGCAGCGACTGGACTGGACGCGACAACCTGAGGGGACGGAACCACCTGGTGAGACGCAGGGAGGAGACTAGGGGGAGGGACAGGAACTGGGAGGAGTGGCTGCTGCGACGGCGGCCGCTGTGGCTGCGGCTGCTGCTGCTGCCGCTGCTGAGGCTGCTGCTGCTGCTGCTGCAGTCGCTGCTGAGCGCGCGGGCCAGTGTGAAGAGTGTAGAGACCGGAGCCCGGCTCAGCAGCAAAAGTGGCGAGAGGCTGGTAAGAGTCCCCGTCAACACACACCGCAGTCTCTCCAGAAGGCTCAAACCACACACCCACGTGCTGACTCACAAGGGGTCGCACGCCCACCAAGTTCCGGGAGAACGAGGGGACGTGAAACCCAGTGAGAGACCCAGAAGGAGCAGCCGGACACGGCAAGGTGGTAGTGTGACGCGCGGTGACTGGTCCCGAAGTGGGATCAGCCAGCGCCACAGAAACAGGCGCAGGAAGAGGCGTAAGTGTCGTGCTGTCACGAAAGAAGCAGTGAGAGGCTCCAGAGTCCAGCGTGAACGACAGCGAACCGTCCTCTGAGGTAGCCGCTGGACTAGAGTCTACACAAGAACCTACACTAGCAACAGGCAACTGAGCAAGGCTAGCACCTAAGCTAACAACACCAGAGTAAGCAGAGTCAGAAACACTAGAGTCAACAAC